GCGGACACGGCTGTAGACAATGGTATTCTTCCTCCTGGCATCAGTTAGTCGTTTTGCCACCGAGCCTGTCCGAATGCCGAGCATGACATACGAAGCTGTCCGTAAAAACGTCCTCATTTTAGGCTCGGAATCACTTCGAAAGTGGCCACAACACGAGAGACACGTTTGCATCAGCGCCAAAACCGAAACCAAACAAGTCGCTTCAACTTGTTTGGTTTCGTTTTAGGGGGGAGGGGGGAGGCGGCTGGCTGGCTGGGAAAAGGACGGGGCAAAAATAGAAGCACATGGAACAGACACTATCCTGTGCGCTCCAACTTTTGTCCCGTCCTTTTGTGTTGTTTTTAGTAACGTTGTTCAATAACCAACTAGCCCAGCAAAGCGCCCTTCTACTGCAGAGTCCCATCTGCCTTCTAGATGTACCATATTAATTAAAACACATCCTCATAAGGTATAAAAGTAAATGCTTTGAGGACACCCAGAGTACATACTGGGACCGGACAAATCAACGTTTTGAGGACGTCCCGAGTATGCACTGAAACACGTCAAATCAACGTTTTGGGGACTACCAAGGGATGTCGCAAGAACGTCCTCGGGGCATCTTCACATCCGCAACAAGACGTCTTTAGGACATCCTCAGAATATCACTAGGGAGTTTTAGAATATCGTAAGTAATTTTAGCGCACGCTATCGCTAAATTTAGCGCTTGCGTTAGCGCACGCGACGCGAGTTTTAAGGCCGGTTCAGAAGGGTTCAGACACTTGCGTTTGACTGCGTTGCGTCGAGAACCGAAAGCGAGTCACCGGAACATCTGTGCATCGTACGAAGCGTGGAATCCAACTCAAGGTATCATCTTGGCACGCGGTATTAGCAGCAAGGATATCCTGGTTTCTCGCAGCCGCAACGCAGTCAAACGCAACTGTCTGAACCAGGCTTTAGAATAGCGTTTCTCCGCCGCGACGCAGAAAGGGCCGCCCACATTAGCGAGAAAACGCGCCCGGCGCGCCGATAAATCGGTTAAGCGGGAAGATAAAGGGCGTGTCTCTGCACGCGCTCGTGGCGCTGACTGTGCTTCGGCGACATTTTGTTACTTGCCGCGATCGGCGTGCCACGCGCGTTTTCTCGCTAGTGTGGGCGGCCCTTAAGCCAAGCATCTCGCGCTTGCAACACCAAAAAGATAGTCACGATTTTATTTCACAGACGAAATGCTGTAACTTGAGAAAAAAACAAGATTTTTTTGGTTCAGAGTAACATTTTACATTTGTTTAAACGTGAGAATGCGACGCGAGCGGTCGACCGGTCGTGTCCGCATGCGTCGCCTCGGCAAGGGTGTACTGACCTTCGCCGACAAACGTCCGCTCGTTGCAAGCACAACTTGTCGGTGATCGTTGGCCACCTTACTGGGTTTTCCAAACCGAGTGCAATGTCGTCCTGTATTGAAAACAGCAGTCGCGAGGGTACCACCGACGTCGCGCTCACGACGCCGCCAAGGGGGGGCCGCAGCCATGGCCCTGGCGGCCGCCATTTTTTTTAACTGCGCTCGTCTTGGCTTTAGTAAACTTCCCATCACAAATCCTCCTTGGGGGAGCGCACTCTGCGTACGCACGCAATTTCCGAGGAACAGTTTTTAGTTTTCGCAAACCGCGTTTCCCCGTCCGCTAAGCCCTCCGCAACGAAGCCGCTACTGCGCCGGCGCGCCGATGGAAACGATCTACGAAAACTCCATAGTGTGCAAAACGTGGCTAGCGTTCGGCGCATGCGCAGTGGCGACGACGCTATTCTTTGCGAACGCAAAGCTTTAGCGTGCGTTATTCTAAAACTCCCTACTGTGTTGTCTGGGTAGATTGGAGAGGGCCCATCCCAAACCATGGGGGGGTGTTTGCTATTTAATGGCGGACTCCTCCCGCCCTCCTTGCCTCCCGCACCGATTGTTTGCAAGTGCGCATGCGCTGCGTGGCGAGGAGTTAATCAGGCGGAAAGGAGGAGACACTCGCAGACGACCATGGAGAATAGAAGTACTTCTAACCTCCTTGCAGACGACCAACGCTTTCGTCACCTCGCAGCGCGTTACAGTGTTGCCAACCGTAGGGTAATTACCCTACTTGTAGGGTATTTTAGGCATTTTTGGTACATTGTAGGGTTGTAGGGCCGTCCGGCCATTTCCCTGCCAAAAGTAGGGTATTTTCAAACGTTGCTTCTTCAAGGGCAAGCATAATACAAAAAAGTAAGAAAAAGCTGATGTGCAAGCTTTGCAGAACTTTACAACGCGTCTGCTGCCACACCACGACATCATGCAAAACGGAAGTATCCAAGTTACAAGACGTGCTAACAGAGTGCACCACACGAAAAGCTGGAGTAAAGTCCCTCGATGTTTTTTCTGGAGGTTTGGAAAGCTGGAGCAAGTGAGAGGGGAGGCGGGAGGAGGAGGAGTTGTGCATATGAAGTTTGGAGCCAGAAGAGGCATCTTCCCAGTGGAAATGTTCCCGCCAATTTTTTTCTGATGACTCTGGTCCATCCGGCGGCCTTCGTTGCACCTGCGATACACGTGGCACCGCGGGCGGAACCAGGTCGAGCCCACCAGAACCGGCAGCCACCTGTTCAACTGGACTTTTCTATGCGCTGGCGTGAGGTGCGCATGCTGCAAATAACCATAGCGGGAACTACCACTCGTACTGGGCGCGTTTTTTTTTTTTTTTTTTTTTTTTTTTTGTTATGGCGCATTGCAATTAACTCTCCTTACCACGCCCATAGAGCGCTGATCACGGATGATCGACGAGTACGGAAACCGATTTCAAAGCTCCCGCGGAGCTTCCCGGCACGTTGTGCAGTCGGTAGGAAGCAGGGTGTCGAACCGGAACCGAACCGAACCGGTATTTTTTCCGGAACTGAACCCGAACCCGAACCGTTATATTGTTATCGCGATGAACCCGAACCGGAACTGAAACGGAAAAAAAAATAACGGTTACCGGCTCATGTCAAAACGGTTCGGCCACGCGCTGTTGACAATGAATGTGCTATCAATGCCATTTGTTTTTTAAGTGCCGTCAACTGACACACACCTCGCTTACATATTTTTCTTCTCCACTCAGTCTTAGGAATATAAACGCTGCATCCATGAATCTTGACAAACGCTGCATCCATGAATCTTGACATAGGAACCAGTATTGCGCTGATCGCGGCTTGCACGGAAAAAAAAAAAAAAAAATTAAAAGGCTGTGCAAAAAAAAAAAAAAAAAAATCGCGTCACGGGATTTTATTTTTTTACAATCTCGTAAATCCTAAATGCTGCTGTGTGCTCATTTCATAACACGTTTCTAGAACGCGCGAGTTCTTGAAGCTTGCTTCCATCGGAATGAGAAAAGAAAAGGCTGCGGAGTTTGATAATAATGCATCCGGTTTCGTATAGGCACTTAGAAGCTAACATATTTGTGAGACAGCAAACTTTTCTATTTTAATATTTATCCTATTACGTCCTTCTGGCGCGTCGTTCGGTGAAGTGTTTTTCATATTCCGTATCTTGTTTAATGAAAACTTCTTGAAGGGTCTAATTTGAGTTACCGAAGGCTAGTTCAAATAAAGAGAGCTGTATTTTCTCCCCACTGTTCCTTCAATTGCTTACACGCCGAGGTGGCGGGATAGTTAGCGAGTTCTACTTGTAAGTGGGTTTGTAAGGAGGTCGCGGATTTTACAGCTACTGCGTCGGACCCAATTAGATGAAGTCCGAATGCGTAAACGTCGGTGAGGTAACCTTTGAGTGCACATAAAGAAACCATTCCTGGTAGAAATCCCTGAGCCTTACACTACGATGTATCCCGTTTCGTACGTGCTGATTTGAGATGTTTTATTTGTAATTTATTTTGATGTTGCAATTTGTCATTTATAATTTTCGAACCGGTTCGCGGATCGAATTAATCGAACCGGAACTGAACCGGAACAAAATAAATTTACCTGAACCTGAACCGTAACCGAACCCGTATTTTTTTCGGTTCGACACACTGGTAAAGAGTTTGAAGACTGTTTACCGTCTGCGCAAGTAGTTGGGACTGGAGGCGTTCACTTGAGTGAACGACGTTTTAGCGAACAAAGTCGAAACCATCACGTTTCATCGAATGACACTTTAGCAAATACGAAAGAGCCGCCGGTTTCCTATCCTCCCCCGGTGTAATAGCCTAGTTTGTCGAAATATTACCTTAGTTTGACGAATCCCTAGGCGGTTCACCCAAAGAATAAGCTAATATACCGTTCCGATTAGCTTCCTTTTGTAATGAGCCGCCTTGTCTGTCGCCGCGAGTGCTGGTCCGACGTAGCCCAGTTTTTAATTTGATGACAAATCAGCTAAACATGTTGGTTGGGGATGTCTGTGCGCTCGGAGCAACACTGTTGTGCTGATGCTACACAGCGCGCATGCAAGCATGGTGTTCTAAAATAACCCAGGTATGCGCGTGCATGCGTACCCTGTCGTTTTGTACTGTATTAATACTACCCTATATCAGCATAATCCATGCAACGGCATTATTTGAACAAAGATTTGCCTCGTAGGGTAGAATGTAGGGTAATAAGAAATATTCGTAGGGTAACGTACGGTTTTCTGGACGCTGGCGTGGGGTATTTTCAAAAAATAGGTTGGCAACACTGAGCGCGTATAGCAAATGTGGCCTATAAACCACGTGACCCCAATCAAGCAGTTAATCCGTAATATCTCTATACTTCGTTTCGTCCAAACGCAACCAACGCTACAAGCCTATGGGGCCAATCGCCGATTGGACAAGAGTTCTAGCCGAATGCCGACGCAGTACTCGTGTCCAATCTGTGCCCCACACTGGCCCCCAGTTGGTGACGTACAAGACTTTGCAGCACAACCTCGTTAATTTTCATTAAAGCTCTTTAGCTTGAATTACGTCGCACGCCGCACACGGTTTTCGTGTGAAGCAGATCAAGCGTGGGCTTTAAACGTGCAAAAAAAAAAAAAAAAGTGCTTCCTTGAATTAACAACACAAACAGAATTCATCTTCGTTTGTATTTTGACAGCAAAACAGAACACCTTGGAACACAGACCTCTAAAACCGAAAACTTTTAAAAATAGTTGGGCTATAGTTGCACTCTTTCATTCCACACATTCATTCTATTAATATCGTCACCAAACTCGCTATGATGCTCCAGAGCAAAAATATACCTCGTATAAGAATTTAGATGTGGGCAAGCAATCGAAAGGCACTACAAGTATTGCAAGGGGATTCCCCACACCCCACTGTGCCCGAGAGAAGGTGGGGTTTCGTGGCAGCAAAACTGCTACCGGCACATTCGAACGCCACAGACTAATGAATGCCACGCAGTGCAAGAAAGAAAAGTTCCTTTCCAAGAGGAAATTCAATAAATAGGTCTCTCGAGTCTAAAGCGGGACAAAAATATGATTTAAATAAAATGAGCTAAGGGCACCAAGCTAGACGTCTACTTGATAACCCTAAAGCCCCTGTATACGCAAAAAGTAATGCAATTCATTGTTCAAGATGTAATTCCTTGCCGGCAAATAAATTTAAAAGAAAGAGGCGCGCAACCAAAGGAGAGGTGCCAGCCAATTGCGGCCTTGCATACAAAACGCACGAAGCCACGATTGGCTGGCGCTTTCGCCCAAAAATGCAGTGGTGCAGCCGAGAAAAAACTGTGTGAACTTGGGAAATCGCGTTACTTTTCCGTATGCAGAAGCTTTAGGTCCCTCAACAAGTCTGGTGTGTTAGTCGGAAGGCCACATATTGCATTGCGTGCCTGCAAAAGCATGGTGAGATGTGGGCGTTGCCACCGTGGAGATTTGTACCAATGTTGGGCAAGACGTGCAATGTGGTGGTAGTACCTGAGATACGCTACACCATGCGTTACGTGGGCTACAGCTCCCCCCCAAAAACGAGTCGACACCATCAAGGCGTTTTAGCGGATCAAGTTTCTATCACTTTCCGCTGCCCCAGAGAGAGAAAAAAAAACTGGTCCGGCAAGAAGAAGGCAATTGTTGGCAAGAGCTCTGGAGTCATTCCGCACCAGTCCACGCCGTCTTACGAATGTGTACGATTGCAATCGCCTAGCTAGAGCACGGACCAGGGAAACTAACCTACAACGATGCTACGTGCGACCTGCGTGCTGTAGTGGACGCGCGTGGGGCAATGGACGCTAGATGTGCGCAGCCCGACACACATGCTGCCGACGGATGCAAAAGGGATCCCCGCTCCAGCTAACCCCGACCGTGGCTGTACAACGGGGCGCGACTCGCAGACCCAGCCGGGGGCACACGCGGTCAAGAAGTCGGCCAGTGCTGCTACCAGAAACAACAAACCCGGCTCGAAAGCGAGTATTTTCGCCTCGCATCTCAGATTTCGAGCGACCGTCCTTCTAAACAGCTTCTGACGCCGCTCGAAGTTCGTTTTTCTGCCCTTTTGTGCACCGCACTTATGCGCACTGCTCTTTCGTGCACCACACTTTTGTGCGCCTTGCTAAAGTTGGCCCCGTGATAACACCAAAAATGCGGGCGTCGTCATCCGAGAGTTTCCCGTGATATTGCTCTAGTCGACCGACGACGACGTTGTGGGCCGAAGTTGGCCAGCAGTCGACATTCTCTGCTCTTCCCCGTGTGTAGACGTTGGAAATGGCTTTCGATGGAATGTTGACCTTCCCAATGCGGGGCTTCATGCCGCACGTCTTGTCATCCGCCGACAGGGGACGGAAAGGTTTTTGTCAAAAGCTGTTGTTGTTCAGCCCGTTGAGGCGCTTCTGTAGTCCGTTCACGAGTTCTTCGAGCCTGCAACGACGACAGAGACGACTGCTGTCACCGTTGTAAAGCAGTACAGTTTTATAACTGGAGTGCATAATGGAAGCTTTCTACCGTTGAGTAAGAAGTATGGATGCACTGAACTGAACACTAGTAATATATTAATTGTTTTACTTTACTCAAGATGCTGCAACTTTTTGTTTCATTCTGTTTTCGTGGATGAGCGAAATTTTGCACGCACATTCGCACGGTGCTTCTCGTTGCAGGCAGCTTTTTCTCTGTCCGCTTAACACAGAAATCGTGTTGGCGATTTGAGGGACGGCGAAGGTTATTTTAGCCTAAAAAAGACAACCCAGAAGAGGGCTCCGAAAGTTTCAATGATAAAGCCTCGGAGAACGATAGTGCTTGTTCTATGAATGAGAAACAGTAGTGTCCTTACGGGCACTACCATTTCTCAAAGTTGGATGCCATTCACGGATGTAGGTCGAGAATCTGAAACTTCTATTTTCAGTAATATTTCACGAACACTTTAATGACAAACTTAATTTGACGAAAAAAAACTATGCTATTGTTGTTTTAAACGTAAAATCATCCCGACCCGGGGTCTAACAACGAAAAAAGTTGCATGACCCCAAAAGGTTCACAAACGTAGGGTGCGGCCAGTCCTAATAGTCTCATGATCACCCCACAGCCGAGATTGCGGCATTAGCCAACAAGAATGCCCAAGAATAATCACGACGAAGCGCGAACAACGCCCCGCAAACGGCTTCGACGAGCCGCGGAAAACCTGTCGAAGGTATGGCCTTGCCTCTGGCACTTGAGCTCCGCCCCCTGGCGAGAGGCGATCTCGTCGTCAAGCCGCTGCCCGATGCGCCGCACCTCCTCGCGGAGTTGGCGCAGGAGCGGGCTTCCGGCACCCGACGGGTCCCAGGCCTCCTCCACGCCGATGAAGTCCGTCTGGGCCTCTGTCGAGATCTTGGCCGTGTCGGCTGTCCTGTCGCTCCCACTGAAACGCGAAAGTGGAGCGAGGATCCGCCGGATGGCGGCGGCGATGGGCGGGCGCCCCGGACGGAAACATACCTTCCGTTGCCGAGCCCGAGCGTTTCCTGCATCTCGTACAGACGACTCGACGTCGCTGTCCTTTCGTTGGCCGTCTGTTGCAAGGTGTCCTGTAAGGAGGATGGAGTCGTTTGGCACCCTCACCGAGGAGTCGTGCGTGCCAACAATGCAGTGCCCAAAAAGCACCTTCGACTAGTGCGCTTATTCATTTATTAATGCATTGGCATTAGTACCCAGATGACAAAAAAAAGGTGACGGGGTTCATCTGTGGACAAAGCAGTGGAAAGGGAGGTGCATCACGTAGAGAGAAAGAGGGTAGCGATGAACAAAGGCAAGAGGGAGGCAACGTCACGGGGCAGAAGCCTATGCGCACACGGATGCTAGGGCAAGTCTTGACTTGCAGGTGTGCGGGGCGCATATGCTTTGGTTTGTGCTACAAAATGGAGTGTTAACCAAGTACCAGCACTGGTCCAAGCAGGCGGCAAAAGAAGATGGATTGTGAACGAAGGGGACAGGATACACAACATATAACGTGTCCTCCAAAAGATACACAGCTTACGGCACAAAACACACTTCCAAAAGAGATTGCCAAAAGAAACCGCCAAAGCTAGAAAAAATTAAAGGAAGATCCATTGGTGGATCATTAGGGAATGCAAAAAACGTGACCCTTGGGAAACTCTAGACATGTTCCCCTTTGGGAAATCCTAATCCTGATCCCATAATGAAGCCCAAAAGAGGCAGCAAAACATAAAGGAAGCAAAAAAGAAACCGAAAACAGAAAGCCATACAAGAGGGCCAAACGAGAAAGCTAAAGCAGAAAAGTGAAGAGTCAGCATTAGCGTCTCCCAAAAGAGGACATGTATGGCGCTTCCCAAGAGTCATGCAACACATTCCCCAAGGATCCACCAATGTTTATTTCAAAGACCCTCAAGTTAAATACATTGAGGAGGGGAGAGAGCTATAAAATATTAACCACGAAGTGTGCATGATAGCATGTTTAAACAAAACAATATCAGAGATGTTATCAATTGGGGCAGGAAGGTGGTTCCAGTCTATCAATCTTTCAGGCATAAAAGAACATTGAAATAACCAAGCTCTAAACTTTGGGATACCAACCCTATGGCTACGATCAATGCGAGCAGGGATGTCGAAAGCTGAAATAATCAGTTTATGACAAAGGGCAGCATTTTGACAAAATATTTTACGAAAAAGACAGGACTGGCAGATATTTCGGCAATGAATTAGTCGCGGCAGACCTAGAGTGTTTTTCACGGTAGAAACGCTCACAGCGCGATGATACAGCTCGCCGACACGACACAAGCCGAGGGGTTTCGAATAAACTCAATAAGAAAAATTAGCAACGAGTGATTTTTGGCAGGTTAACATCCCGTACCGCCCTTACATCGAGGGTGGTTCTGAAACGGCAACAAATCATTTTACGAGAGACGGCACGTTTTGCCGTCGGATGTCGGAACCCTGGCGATTGGCCATGGAAGTTCCGCGGCAAAACCAACGAGCAAGCGCGATGGTCGCCGTCGTCGTGGCGTCCCAACTCGTGGTGCCGAAGCTTCCGTGAACTGTCAGGCTGGGGAGTGACCTAAGGCAGGACGAGCACCCGCTGCATTCGTCTCTGTCGTCGTGTCACCACCATGATTGCGTGACGTGACGTCGTCAGGAAAAAATCGAGGGATCACTAACCGGTAATGCCGGTCAAAAGAGAGGCTGGCAATCTAGAAAGAAACGCATCTCGGCAAAATTGCTTTGCAATGGTTTAAGACTTCCCTAGTTCGGAATCTCCACCGTCCTCGATTTCGATCGAGACGTAGCGACGAGAATGCAGAAACACCTTCGCCACGGTACGACCTCGACGCAATCTCTACGGAACCGAACGAGTCATCTGCGACGTGATCGAGTTTGGCAGCAGGCACTTTGGGTGGCATCTGTCGTTAGCCTTTCCACCCAATAACTCGGTTATTACTATCGCGGCCCAGGACCAGACTGGAGGGATTGTAAGTGTCGTAGAGCAATGAAAGTCAGTGAGAGAAAAAGAAAACCACTTACGGTGCCCCAGTTTTCCGACTTCCAGATGGCCTTCATGTGGAGCTCCTGAACGTCTTTTTCCAGCACCTTCACCTGATGGACAGGCCAACGAAGACTCGTCAGCAACTTCGCTCAAATAGTTCAGACACCCAAGGCAGGTGACAGACACTAGGGTTCTCTCTCAACGAGTCTGGTACGGTCTGTTGCAGGACAAGAAAAGCGAGACACGAGCTTTTCCCACGAAGCCCTCCAATCTTTCACAATTCAGCAGAGTGAACGCTTAGGAGAGGAAAGTGGAGGAAACCAACAGGTAGGGCGGGCTAAGAGCTTGCTGCTGCTTTTCTTAACCTGCACCAGACTACAGTGTGTACCATCCAAAGGTTCGCAAAAATATCTCCAAACTATTTTTTTTTTTAAATTCCACGTTGATTGGCTCGAAAGCTCGTAAACTTCCCAGCGGTTGAAGTTTGATACGTTTAGACTTCCATAACCCAGTTGGTTGTCGTTGCTGTAAACGTATGGCGGCAATTACACATTTGAAGCTGCTCCGTTAAACTTTGTGCACTGCGGAGGGTGTTGCTATGTGCGTCTTAGGCAAACTATGACCGTTATATCTGCACACTGTTTCACTCTGCTGAGGCTATTTATAGTTTTGATATTAGGCACTGACAAGCGCCAGACGGTCGCTTTGCATGTCAGCTGCTCTGGCGGTAAAGGCAATTTGAGCGCAGGTTCTTCTGATTCAGACGTTTTCTTGATACCGCTCCTTTGGGAACCAAACCCAACTACTGGGAAACATCTTCAGGGATAAAAATTTGACCATCAGTGGGTTAAATAGCTTCTTTGGGAGTCGATGAGAGTTCAAACGTTGCACATTTTGCACGAAGCAAACTTGGACCAGTCATAACCTAATTTGAGAACCGAGTCTCTCAGAGATTGTGATCCGGTCTTTCAAAGACGTGATACGCACTGCCCTCTCGACACGTGTCTATAGAGAGCCTGGAGAGCGACCGCTTGCCTTTTCGAGGGCCAGATCCCGCTGTGCCTGCAGCGCCCTCAACTGGTGCCTGCCCCGGCGGCCCCGGCTTTCCCGCAGCCGGTGCACCGTGGCCAGCAGGGTCTCCTGGTGGCGTGCCACCTTGGCCGGAGTCCAAGTGCCCTCCAGGCCTTGAATGATTTTGTCCAGACCCTGGCGGGTGGCGCACGTGCGGCATATAACGTCCATCGCACTCGACAACACTGCCTTCAACGGCGCTTCGTTAACTTTTCAATGTTATATAACCCCGCGTTTTCAATAAATACCAATAAACCCCCCCCCCCCCCCCCCCCCCCCATCGCACTGCGGCACCTCCTCCTCTCTGGCTCCACGCCAGCTGTGCGACGCTCCTTTGACGAAAACCCGGCGGTGTCTGTCGGTTTGTCAGCGCCAGGGGGAGAGAGAGAGGGTGACGCATGCTGACGTCAGCGTTTCAGAAGCCCAAGCTTTCTGGGAAGAAAACCTTTCTTTTTATCTGTACGGGGATGTTTTCCGAGTGTTCAAGTCACACGCACGTTCCCAGGAGGTTGAGAATTCTAGTGCTCATGTCAGATTTCTTCTGACGTAAGCCTCGACAAAGCCTGATTTTCCATTAGACACCAAAAAAACCGAGTGTCGGAAAACACAGAATAGTGGGACAAAATAAATCCCAAAAACTTCCAGAATTCAAAGAAAAACAAACCCCCAAAACACGGAACCCTATTTATGATTGAGAGAAACCTACGCTGAGCACGAGGTTGTCGCAGTTCTCGTCGTCGCTCGACACCCCGTCTGATGCATCGCACCTGCAAGCGGTAATAATCGACTGATTGGTCGACGGTATTCTTATTCGGCTTCAGGGTATGGCCTCGTACTTAAAGGCCAACGAGCGACTAGAAAGGAGGAAACTCTTCCTCTATTCCTTCATTTCATTCGCAAAAGGAAGAGGCCTTCCTTCCTGCGGGGAGTGGCTCAGAGACCCTCTAAGACTCGCGCAGTGCGAGCAGTAACGAGCATGTGTGTTTCTGCTCGGGCACAATCCCAACTCGTTTTCCAACAGCGGGGCTCACGGCCATGTTGGCACTAAAACGCCGCAAACAAACTCGAAACAGACCTGGCGTCTGCGAGCTTCCGCAGCTCCCTCTGGCAGAGATCCGCGCTCTGGCTGGCGCTGTCCAGACGTTCCCGCATCGAGTCGTCCCGCTCCCTCTGCGCGTAGTACACGTCCGCCAGGAGCTCTGCAAATCGCCAAGTCACTATTTATTGGCACCGAGAATCGTGAACGTCTTTGCCGAACGGGAACGAAACAATAGACCCCTTGCCGAATTATACCCAAGGATCAAAAAGAACGCTGGGAATGCAGGTACACGCGTTGCGCATGCTGGCGTCTCCGGCTCTAACTCTTTGAAAGCAAAAATCTAAAACAAATGGCACTACTTACGCGCGCTCCACGGGTGCTTTATTCTGGTCATTTACTTTGAATCTTCTATAGGGAAGGCAAGCACGTGCAGTGCATGTGCCAACGTCCCCAACATTCTCTTTGATGCGTGGGTAATCTAGCAAAAGGTCTCTTAGATGTCTGCAGTTTGTTGGTTCTCAGGATGTGTGCTACGATGGACAAGGCCATACTTTCCTGCAATACAGTGCAGGGTTTCCAAAACAATTCGGTTTTGTGGAGCGTACACCAAGCAATGACCCAAAATACTACTAATAATAATAATAGTAATAAGGAGTTTTAGAATATTGCACGCTGAAGCTTTGTGTATGCAAAGAATAGCATCTTCGCCGCTGTGCATGCGCCGAATGCTAACCAGAATTTGCGCCTTGCGTGCGCTGTTTCAGCTTACGCTATTTTTTGAAAATTGCATGCATATGCAAAGAGTCTTTGCGCTTTTCCAAAGAGGATTTGTGATGAGAAGTTGGCTAAAGCCAAGAAGAGAGCAGTTAAAAAATGGCGGCTCTCAAGACTACCAAGGCGGCCGCCACGCCGTTGTCGTAAGCGCAATGTCGGCGGCATCCTCGCGACTGCGATTTTCAATACGGGACGACATTGCACCCGGCTTGGAAAACCCAGTAAGGTGGGCAACGATCACCGGCAACTTGATGCTAGCAAAGCACAAACATTTCTCGGCAAAGGTCGGTACACGAGGCCTCTCTTACTGAGGCGACGCAAGCGGAGACGACCGGTCGACCGCTCGCATCGCATTCTCATGTCTAAATAAATCTAAAATGTTGCTTTGGACCAAAAAACTTAATTTTACTCGAGTTACAGCATTTCATGAATGAAATAAAAATTGTGACTGTATCTTGATGGCGTTGCAAGCATGAGATGCTTGGGCTTTTGCGTGGCGGCGGAGAAATGCTATTCTAAAACTCTCTTGCATAGCGTGCGCTAATGCAAGCGCTAAATTTGGCGCTAGCGTGTGCTAAAATTACGTATGTTATTCTAAACCCCCTAATAACTTTATTTCCATTGTTTATAATGGGGGACCGAAGGCAAAAAGCTGTAGTGTACAGCTCTCGTCCCACTCCCACAGCTCGTACACTCAAATAGTGCAGATGCCTACAGGGTGTATCGACAAATACCCAAACCATAAAGAAATGCATGCAACAAAATAGTGGTATCAAAAAGTTGCTACCATATGACACAAGCAAACGAGAGACTGCGGTTAAAACAATGTGGAAGACCGTGACAATACTCTTACATACAGCCTTCCGGCAATTCTAAGAATGTCTCCATAATAAAGGCGTACAAGGTAAAGATATGGATATATAATGAAGCCCGGCCGGGATACCCTTTCGTTGAGAATTTTCGACGGTCATCGAAAAAGAGAAAGACAATCCTAAAAATGCAAATTTTCTCTTTTTTTTTTGTTAGTTGCACGTTTTTTTAACGATTTCGTTCCGGTTTCTAAACAAGCTAGATCGTTGAGCTATTCATCACCCCGTACTACTGATATAAAGGCATCCGAGGAGCTGAAAAAAAGAACTGAATTTGCTGAAGAGAAGTTTTGCCGCGCACAACCCGACAGCATCCAGTCAAGGACGTGCTCACCAGCAAAAGAGACGCCCGTCGGCGGCGGCGGCGGACTTCCGTCGGGGCTCTTCAGCCTCCGCTGCATGTCCAGCTGCGACTGCAAATGCTGCAGCTGATTCCACAGCTGCAACGGGAAAGGTGTGCAGATGCATCGTACTGCGACGCATTCATGAATTCATACTCGGCGTCGGAAGTATCTGCGGATGCACATCAAGCATGCACGAAGAGTATTTTTTCATACATGCAGTATACTCGCGATAATTCGAACTCAAATATTTCGTACCTCTGGTTAATTCAAATAAATTTCAAAATTTTGGTCGTCTTGCTATGTTACACGATAGCGTAAAGGAGCTCGTGTTGCAGAAAAGCCGGCGTCGGTGGATTGACGACGGGAAAAGCCTGACTGGTCGACAGGGTGACGTCACAGCCACAAGACCTCGTGCGGGAATTTCAAATACACAACGCTCACGTGAAATATGACGTCACGCATGGTATGAAAGTGATGAAAACATGACAAGTAAGGCGAATTAAAGGTCGCCGCATGTCTGAAAATGATTTCACTTTATAAAGTAATTATTTCTACCTTAAAGGGCAACTCCAGCCAAAACTCAAAATGAAATGAATTACTGGTATCGCTGTAGTGACACAAAATACGACCCCAGCCAAAATATTACGTCTGGGGGACGCCGCATTCTCAACTGATGCCGATAATAAAAATGCGACCCGCCGCGAGCCGCTGCTCCTTTGCGGGCGGCCGGCGGGTTGCCGATCGCTAAAGCAACATTGGGCCGTGACGTCAGTATCGTTCTCTTTTTTTCCTCCGGTCCGACGTTGCGCAGTGTGCGCTTCTTTGAGCCGCTGCCACCACTACTTCGGCTTGCAATTGTCGTGTTTAGCCGTTGCTTTTATCTATAGCCCATGTACCTTCGGTATAGCCTTTTGTTTATTTGCTTGTGAGGACTCCAAGACTTGTTTTAGCGAGCAACTCGGTGCGTCCAAGACTGCCCAGCTTTTCTTCGAAAGATGCCAAGTACAACTTGAAGCGCTGTGGGCTGCTCAAACAACTCGCTGCACAACCCAGAGGTGCTTTTTCACAAGTCTCCAACGGACCGGAAATTGGAGAAGGAGTGGGTGAACGCTGATCGACGAGTGGACTTTGGACTTCGGCTTTTACGCGCCCGAGGAAAAAAGAATGAAAAAACAGATGTATACAGCCCAGCGCATGTGTGTTCGGGCACCGCGGCCCACGCCGGAGAGCCTCAAAGTTTCATGTCTGGGACTGACCCGCAGCGCGAAAGCGAGAGTTCCCCCAGTACTGTACGTCACTGGCAGCGTGGCGTAGAGCAATGCCGCTCCATCCACGGAGCACCGACAACAATTTAGGCCTAGCGCTGAGTACGGAAGACCGCACACACGGCGACAGCCGCCAAGTACGGCACCGAACGAGTGCACTTGTTTTCCAGTCGCTAGCTTTTGGGGATACGCACTAACTCTTGATACTTATGCTGGATAACTACCACCTATACAGAATTAAAACAAAATCAGCTTACCTCCTATCTTTAGACGGCTAGTGCAACAGGGGTAGGTGCCGCTCGGCCTGCGTACTCTACACGAGAACGATCCCGACGTCACGTTCACATAGCGGCTGATTTCCAGTGTTGCCATGGCCTTGAGCAGCTAGTTTCGGTTTTGTTGGCCGCGCCCCAAACAAAACTTTGAGGCGTCGATATCTTTAAAACTATGCACAATAACAAGAAAAAAATTACACCTTGCGATTCAGGGACGCTGACTGCACTAAAAACAGTCATAATCACAAAATCGAAAGTATGAACCGGAGTTGCCCTTTAAAGAAAAAATTTGACGACTTTTAGGCGGGATTCAAACACACAACTCTTTGGTTGTGAGCCAGATGTGCTACTGACTAGCCCATGCAAGGCATGCTTGCACGGCTTGAGAACGACCGGGAGTTTATACGTTTATATGCGTATCTGTGAAGCTGAAGTGAGGTGACAGCAGCGACAGGACAATCTCGAGATGCGATAGCACCTCCGAGCATGAGAAGCAAATGAGAAGGCGATGTGAATGGGGCCCGATAACGCATTCCACTCTTAAAGGTGAAGCTTAAGTGTCCTCCAAGCTTTTTTTAATTGTATTCATAAGCTGCTTATTCAATCGGCGTTTTCGTGAAATTCATATCTTTTGGTCTCGTGGTCACGTTGAGTGTGTTTCTTTCTGAGCACCGGTGCACTGCAGAGAAGCAGCAGTCGTGGAGCTTGCTTCCGCATCTCTTGCTTCTCTGCAGTGCACTAGTGCTCGGCGAGAGGTGCACTCAACGGGGCTCAAGTAGGGCACCGCAGGCTATGAAAACGGGCACCACGCGGAAATTTCCATGGCAACTTGCGCAGACGCTGCGATGTGGTGGCGTGGCATGGGTCCAGTTCACGGCGGCCGTGCAAGTTGCTATGAAAACTGCCGCCCGGCCCCCATTTTTGTCGCTTGTGCGTTTAATAGTTCACACTAGACTATTCCTTGGCCCGACAAACAAACTTGATTTGGTTTCAGGTTGTTACGTGCTGTCTAAGCAGTCCACGATAAACAACACTTTTGAGGGATAAATAAACTTGTGTCATAGATTTCGCAAATGTTTCTTGTGTGGCATACCTGCTTATGATCCATAGGCCTACGTAGAGTAAATTGTCAAATGTCAGGCTTGTATGTGTAGAGAATACATATGGCAAATCATAATTTTATCTCGTATCATATTTCAATGAATTTCTGATAATTCAAAACTTCTGATAATTCAAACAAAATTCGTGGCTTCCTGGAGTTTGAATTAAAGCAAGGCTCCTTACTGTACAAGGAAGAAACATGCCTCAGAGAGTGTCTCCGGACTGTCTTTTAGTATGACGTATTAGCAGCGTGACCGCGACCTAAAGCTTACGGCCGCCTGCGGGAATCGTGACACGATTCCGAGTAGGGAAGTCCCTGAATCTCGTCGCTTCTGCCACCGAGGCGGGGGGAGCGGCTTACTTTGGCATTGATTTCCTTGAGGGCCTTGACCTCTTCTGGCAGCGGAAGTCGCAACCGAGATGGTGTCGGCGGCTCTGGCTCCGCCTTGCCTCCGCCAATCGTGAAGGAACCCATCCTGCGGGAAGTGACGCGGTCTCCAGTCGACGACGCCATTCGTACTTCGGACAGAATCGTCGTCAGCATTGCGGTTATGACCGCAGCGCAACTGTAACTGCAGCGTTACAACAACACTGCCCCACATTTCGACGCGTGCGGTTACCATGCCTATTGGAGAGTGACGAGTCGGCAGACGCACCGCATTAACCTACGCTAGCCGAGGCGCACCGGTACCATACTTTTCCAACTATAGTCTCCAGACAATTTAAAGGGGAGCTCCCTTCGGCGGTTTCTCGAGCTACCCAAAAACATTTTTTAACACCCAGGCCATTAACTATTGAGAAAACGGCAATTTTTTTTTATTCATTTATTTCAACATTCTGCCAGCGACGAGGCCAAAGCGGGTTTGCGGGTATTTTAAGAATACGAGCACGCAAGTATTAAAAGTGTTATCAACAAAACTGCACACATTTTCGCTAACAACAGCATCCATGAATAGAGCATAGTTGTAACCCGAGACTGGGGATACGGACAAGGGACAAAACACAGAACGACAGGGACGTTCTGTGTTTTGTCCCTTGTCCGTATCCCCAGTCTCGGGTTACAACTATGCTCAATTTACACCAGCTAGCCTGCACCCTCACCATTGCTTCATCCATGAATAGTTCCATTTATCAATACAGTTAAAAAAAAAGTTTCTAAAAGAGTCAGTGTTGAAGCAACTAGGCACAACAAATTTGCTATGTTTCGTTCTAGTTTCGTTAGCGAAGCTTGCATATTTCCGAATATCAATAAAGCGACGACCCCGTAGCAATTTAAAAAATAATTTCGTTCGAGTGAACATTGTCCTGGCACTTGTGGCCAGAAGGCAGGGCTGGGCAGTATCGCGATACATAGTTTCTTGGAGATACTTTTGAGTATCTGCATCCCTGTATCGAGATACATTTGAAAAATGTATTTGTATCTCAATAGTAAAATACATTTACAATGTATCACTTGTATCACAATACTTTGCCAGACTAGGTATCCCGTTACATTCGTTGCCATTCTTAAGATAAATTTAAAGGATAAAAAACATATGTTTGGTGCAACTTGCTTCGAAATTTATAATATCTCAGTCACCAACAATAAAAACAAAATTGTGGTTTAAAGAACGTTGCTTGCAAGAATAACAAAATCAGCTCCTCTCATAAAGCCCTCCACTCTTTCCAATTCAGCGGAGCAAATGCCGTGAAGGAGTTAAGTGGAGAAAAGGTATGGCCCTGTCGTCCAATCTCCCTACACTACTCAGAGGCTTATATGACAGTTTGAGATGCGCCCTCATGGCAAAACAGGGTTCATTTCGCGCAGACGCCTTTTGTCAAGCATGGTACGCAGTCTTTACCGTTCTGTAACTATGTGGTTCAATGGGGGTGACATGTTTTTTTAGCGGAATTAATGATAAAGGGTTCGAGGTAATGGGTAGTGCATAAAATGGCACAAAAAGAGGAGCATAAGCATAAATTACCTTTCGCATTCGCCACGAACCTGCACCCTCTCCACGTAGCACCATTCGGAAACAAATGTATTTCTACGAGTATCTGTATCTGTAATCTAGAATACTTTTTCGCCATTATTGCGAAAGTATCTCAGGAATATCCCATTGCATAAAAGACAAATGTATCTCAGTATCTGTATTTTGGCCTTAAAGCACATGTATCTCAGTATTTGTATTCCCGAACACTTTTTGGAGTATGTCTGCCGAGTCCTGGTAGAAGGTTCGCGTCGAATGTCAGCAGGGAGACAGAGTCTATGGGTCGACGGCGATCGAAAATAAAGGCGATGCCAAAACCAACATTCAGATTTTCCCCATCTGTAGTGGCACGACGTCGCACGTCGTATAACTTGCATCTCGAGCAAGCAAACGCAACATTTTGCGCGTCTTTTTTTTTTTTCGTTCTGCTTGCACGAGCCTAATTAGCGTACATTTCACACCAACAAACTTTTTGTGACCCGTCGGAATCACAGGTGGCAAGCCTGCCTGCCACGGATGTCGCGGCCCTGAAAAGCGCGGGTATGTTTTGAGTATTGGCTTCGGCACCATTTTCGTTTGCCGATTTCACACTGACTATTCTAAATTTCGCGATACTAAACAGCATAGCAAAAAAAAAAAATAGTAGGGGTAGCTCGAAACATCACATCGGAGTACACCATTCAAAGGCCGCTTCAAAAGTGCGGGAATTGAGAGGGGCCCCCACCTCTGACACGAGCTTGTCCATATTCCCTCGTCGTCCCGTCCCGCCCCCTCGTCCACCTCGTCCAAGTGGATGACGGGGTCGCTGTGCGTCCGGCGCGGGCTGCCGGGGGGCGCCGCCAGTCGACTTCGGCCCGGCGCCCCGCCCCCCGCAAGCGCCTGGGGTTTGCGCACCTCGCAGCCGCGCCGGCACGAGGCCGCTGTCGGCACGCCGGCAAGCACCGAGCGCGACACGACGTCTGGGACGTCCCGTTCCTGTCCAGGGGTACGGGCCGTGAAGGACGGGTACTGGAGGCCAGGCGAAGACGCCGGGTGGGGTGCGCGGACGAAGGCACTGCGGGGCAGCAGCCCCGGCTGGCTGCAACGCTGCGAAGTGAGGTATGGGCAGGAGCGGCATGTAGCGCATCGTAAACGTCGACGTCGGTAGTCTCGAGGTAAAGAATAAAAAAGAGAGCAACTTCAAAAGATACACTATTTTATGGTCAATGACAGGATGAGAATATTGGGGAGGCTTTTCGGTCGTCCCGCCTGCGGAGCAGGCTTCTTACCTTCGACAAAGCACCAGCGACCCAAGCACTTCGAGCGTGGGCACGCAAAGCGTGCCGCAGGCCAGGCGATCAAAAGGTATGCCCTGTCATTTACGTTCTGTCAGTGACTACAGCCGCCGACACTTACCAGGCCAGAGCAGGACTTGCGCTCCAGAGACACGCTCAGGGGCAGTGAACGGAAGTCGTTGCCACCAGGGACAGCCGCCGGGGCCGCCTCGTCGCAGCCGCCGCCGCCGCCCCGGCCGCCGCAACTCAGGGAAAAGCAGGAGGGGGAGCCCCCGAAGTTGGGCGGGGGGTCCAGGATCCACTGAGAGGTCAGCTCTGGCCCCCTGGAGTCCCCGTCCCCCGTCCGGCCCTGGCCAGACGCCAGGCCAACGCCCTGCGCTGACCTGCGGAGGCTTCCCACCACCGCGCAGTCCGCATCTGCGTCGGCAGACGGCACCGGTGAACAGCAGACGAGAATGGAGGGTCTAGATTGACGAGAGGGTTCATCTCTGACCACGAGAAACGTTGCAATTTAATCCAATAAATTTAGGGAACGTACTATGAAGCCGAGAGTCGCGATTTCCTCGGAAACAAGCAGAAAAAAATTTTTAAACGGAAGTATGAGTGCACACCAAGTGAATGTACTTCGAGTGAAGTACAAGTTTTTTTTCAAACCTACTCGAAGTAGTACTTTAAATACAATTTACTCCAAGTACTTGCAACTGCTTACGACCATGTGCCTTAAAATCTCTTACAATGAGGGCACGGTGCAGTCATCCATTGGGTAGCTGTGGAACACTGCGTTTCCGTATACTTCCTATTTTTTTCTGCCATCGTTCTTTCTTCCTTGGCTCGATACATTTTTTGACAATGTTTTAAATGATTATTTTTCAAACATAAATACATACATTTGATCTCGCAAATACCGCAAAACCTTCGCTCTAGTGAAATGCATTTCCAGGGTCAGCTCCTAGATGGCGCCATCGTGCTAGCGCGTTTCCTTGTCGTAGGATGTCGCAAGAACTCGGTCGTAAGCAGACGCAATTGCGCGAGCGGACCTAGAGAGATCGCGAGAGGATGCAACGAAGTCGAGCACGTCCAGGTGCAAGTGTCTGAACCAGCCTTCACGCACGTGATTTCGTGCACATAACTCATGCAAACGGGAAGTTTCCGGCGGACACACCTTTGAGCGACGTGACAGAGTGGCGCCGCCTGGGAGGCTTTGCGGGAGGATTGCGCTTGGTCCCCGAGCTTTCGTTGGACGAAGTGCTGCGCGGAAAAAAAAAGCAACGCGCGGAACCTCGTTTCATTTGCGTGGACGTACACCCGAAACAAAACTGCGGTAAGGCGGTTGGCGATCACCTGGCCTCCGCCTTTCCTCTACGCGGCTCACTCGACGGCTAACTGTTGCAGGCAGATTGAGCCTAAGTCGAAATGTAATCCTATTTGATTGGCATGCGACGCGACCACGGTTGAAAACAACTGTACATTTAAATGGAAACTGAACTCCTAAAAAATATTTCTTGTTTAAGTGCCTCATAGGACACACATGTCATGAAATAAACTTTTCTTAATAATATTTTGCTTGCAATGTTTGTATCGCAAAGCACGTTGTAGGCGAGATGATTCTGAAATTTGATCCGATTTCAAGAAATTGACACCGAAATAGAAGCATGTTTCGGAATCGTTCAAATGGTTCTCATAACGTGAATAATTATTTTTTTCTTTTTTTTTTTTTTTTGAGGGGAGGGGGGGAATTGCAGCTTATTTGTGACACATATAACTAATCTGCCCACTTAAAAAAAGAAAGTTTTGGGGAGTTTATAAAGAAAAAAAAAAAAAAGTTGCAAAAGAGTAACACATCAAGTTTGGGGCTGTGGTTTGTTCACTCGAAATGTTTTGCTCACTCTAAACATTTTTTTTTTTCACTCGAAATAATGCACATGGCATCATTAATCGTCAAACATGACGTAGAAAACGCCAAAACGCTGCAAAATAATTTATTATTACGCTATTGGCTACGCCGATAAATTTGGCTCTTATTACGCCCCTAAATTTGACATCTCTGCTTTTTTGACGATCCAATAACCTAAAAATAAGTAAAACCTAAAAACAAGTTGTCACAAACCATCTTTATTGGGAAACAAATATATAGATCTTTTTAGAATACACTTATGCAACTTTTACTGCTTGATATAACCCAAAAGACCCATACTAAAACTGTCAGTAATTATAATAGATACTGCCCTCTTTTTTGTTGTCATTTTCAAAAGTGAAGAACAAAAAATTACGGAATTGACAAGCTTCTATGCATTGGCAATACACAAGAACCAATTCAATTAGTCCGCCAAGTATATATAACCATAATTTCATAATAATTAGGAGAAGCCACACATGTATGTATGTGGCTTCTCCTAATAACCGAAGTGCAAACCTGAAAAATGCCTGGAAGCCTTTTGGTGAAACTTTCAAAAGCTGGACGTGCTTCAAAGCAAGTGTTTCTTCCTTGGGAAAATACTTTCTCTTTGCGGGCCGTAATAGCAGCGCTGCCACTCGTCAAGGTCAAACCAAGGTCCTAATTAACGTAATCTGAGTCTACAAAGCATGGGTGATTATGTGACATGTGAGAGTGAAGAGCTTACTGAATGACCAATGGGGAAGGGTCGCGACAAGACAATGGAAGGAGAGGGAGAGGAAAAGAGCAGACGGACGAATGGAGGCAAAAACATACATCTCCTGGATGCATGCGCGCCAAGTTCACGAGTTGATGGTGATTGGCCGTGTTGGTTGGCCTCGCCTAACATATAGAGAAAGAAAAGCTGATTGTACGGTTCTCCTATTGCGATTCTTAGCAAGCTACAAACTGCAGCGTCACATATGAGCGAAGTGACTCATGTTAACCTAACTGATATGCAAACAAGAATGAGGCGCACATCGTTCTTCGCAATTTAGTTTCCTGCCTCTTCTCTAAAACAACAAAAGGCACAGCAAATAATTTATTAAAAGAGCAAGTGCAAAGAAAAGCTTAAAAGTATTGCAGATTTTATACATTTTGCTGAATTACATTAATCGGGTAGCGACTGTTAATAACATGTTATATTCAAACTAATTGATTATCACAGCTTAAACATGGTGAGAGGTATGATGCATCAAACTATAATTCTGAAGCACATCAGTTTGTGATCTCTTGTGTAGTGTGATTAAAAAAGTCAAAGTAAAACGAAGAGGCTCCAAGTTCGATATAAAAAATAAAAAGAGAAAACTCAGACTAAACGCATATGCAAGAAAAAAGCTAACAAATGCGCATACGTTCTTAAAAAAAAATAATAAAACCCCGGGGTGCATGGAATTGAACGAACTCTCGTAGTCACGCTTGGGAAAGCCGAGCGCTCGCATTCAGAAGTGATATCGTGTCCGTCATTTTATTTTTTACACAGAAAGTATATGATGAGCTGATCAGCGAGATCATACCTTAGGCTCGAATCATCGGGAGGTGTGTCTTGGAGCGGCATTAATGATTCGCCACCTTCCGCAATCCGAAAGTCCATCGACCTGACCGCCCGGCCAAGTCATACACCTGAAACGAAAATCGAAGCCAAACCACTTTAGTTTTTTTGTTCGTTTTTGCCCCCCAACACACCTGAACATTTCGCCGAAACACACAAATGCATATTTCGTCGAAATCTGCGATCTAAACCGATGTAAACGAAGGCGGAAGTTTGGCCGCGGAAGACAGAAGTGGTAGCTGTCAAACTTACGGTCAACATTTTTAAACTCGAATCAAGGTGCGAAGCAAACATCGATAAAGAAAAAAAAGGTCGCGACGTCGAGGAGCGTTGCACGTTGTCGTCTTGGCACGAAGTGGTCTTAAAATACGCTTATCGCGTGAAAATTAGCGAATAAAGAAATCCTGGCACGAATCTTGCATCGGAAGGCAAACAAATTCGCAGATGTGTCGGGCATACGAAACAAGTGGTTCGTAGCGTTCTATGCTGCGCTCGTTCGCGACCTGCAAGGGCTGACAAACTTACCAACGTGCGGTGCCAGCTCGCAGAGTGGTATTAATAATATATTCATCGTTGATAACATGGAGTAGTAAGTGTGGTTCCCTTTAAAGGCTTTAAATGTTCGATGGTAATCGCCTGATCAAACACCAACACACGTATCTGTTTGCAGTTGATGTTCGCCACCGTAGATGGCGCCAAGGTTGCTTTTGTTTTTTTTTTGTGCGTTTTTATTTTAGGTGTAGAGGCATTCTATTGTCAATCATTTGTCAGCTGTCTTGATCTCTCGAGTGAGAAGCTGGAAGTTCAAGGTCACATATTGTTTTACCTCCCCTGAGTAAAACTGTTACTCCGTAATCATTACCAAGGGGACCGAGTGGGATCATATTTGCTCTTAGAAAGCTAGACGGATGACTCGATACTTGATCGCAGTAATTATTGACATGGACATCAGCACAATGGCGGTCGAGATGTAGCGTCGGTTGTGGTTCGTGATGTGATCCCAATTTGTGCGGTTTTCCTCGTGTTTGGGTGCATTCCTGCGTAATGTCATTAGATAGGCACATTACAGAATGCTTTAAGATGAAAAAGCCGAAACCATCGCCGGAAAAAAGCTGTTCGAGCGCCACTACGACTCCGAAAAGACGCGCCGCAAAAAGCAAGCTCGCCTCCTCTGTCCGCGGTTTTTCGACACCGGTTGGAAAAGCTGGCGGTAAGTTCAATTTATATTTGACTGCATAGCTTTAAGTTTCTTAAGACGGGACAATTAATCAATGCCTCTCTTTACCTCAGGATCGAGACGCGACGCCTCGCCGGACCTTCTCGATCAGAGTTGTTACGAGACGACTGTGGACCTAAACACGATCGCCGACGACTTGCTGTGCTCTCAAGACGTCGTTGCGGCCGATGTCATCTGGGACTGCACTTCGCCGCGAAACAAAGTTTTCAAAGGTAATTAGCGTTGGGGTCCTCGAAACACATTCGCCAATAGAATCAGAAAAGTGAGAGAATTGTATACTGTTAAAGGCGACACGAAAAGAATGTTTAGCTGGTATAAATTAATTTAGAATGGGATTTCGCTAATAGCATATCGTTTAGTGGGCCAAAAGAAAGAATGCACTAAGTCAGAAGCCTGCTTTTTGGTACGAACATTTTAAAACATAGCGGAATATTTCGTAGCTCCTTTCTTTCGAAAGCTCTCCGCCTTTTCACTGTGATACATCCGCGACACCCAAAGCACGTCAGCTGGCCCTACAGGGGGCGCTTCTCTAGCTATCATCATCATCGTTTGCGACGTCACGGGTAGGAAAGACTGGGACAGACCGTGCAGATCTTGGATCCCTTGGCGCGACAGCTCGCTTCATGCGCTGTTTGGGTAACGTGCGGCAAAGCCTGTTTCACGCGTTTTGTTTATTTGGTGAAGTGATATTTGTGACTAATAATCCCTAAAGAAGGGGAACAAAGAAGACAGGGCAAACACAAATCTCCAAACACAGCTAAGTGTTAAGCAGGACTCCTGGTTAACTTAGTTCGTAGAGCACTCCACTGGAAATAGAAAGGTCCCTGGTTCGATACCAGAACCAGACGGATTTTTTCGGTCGCGCACCGGTCACCTAGCTGTGTTTCGAGATTTGTGTTTGTCCTTTGTCCTGTTTGTTCCCCTTTTCCAGGGATTATTATTGTCATTCTTTTCCAGCTCACTTGCATCTTTGCATTAATTGCATTATAATGATATTTGTATTCGGACATTTTACCAAAACTTAAAAGCGTGGCATGCGTAGTCGTGCTAATAAACACTTTTGGCACTGTGGTGTCGAAGCGCTGGGATGGTGGTGTGCCATTCTTAACCCCAGTACAAAAAGCAAGATGATGAAAATAGAATATCCAGCGCTTTATCCCAATACAACACCTACCATGGCAAACAGGGTGTATTTTTTTTATGATTCAGACAAAATAAAACTCGGAAAGGAATCTCTCATCAAATTGAAACTAGGAAAGCAAAATTCAAGAAATTCTCGCATGTGTAAGGAGCACTTTACTGAAAGCGACTCCGTGTATCCTGTTGGTTCTAATATCATCTCTGAGTGCTGGTCTCTTATTAGTTCCAAGCTGATCTTTTTTTTTTCTTTTTAATTTTGTAAACCAGTCGACAAGCATTTCGTTAGAATAACTAACAGGTAGAAGCGGAGGCTGACTTCAGAGTCGTTTCAATTAAATACCTGCTTAATCACCTGGTCAACGTGAAACGTGCGAGACCCCTTCGCGATGGATCCTTTCTGAAATTCAGTGCCACCTGGTGGTTCGTAAAGCAGTTTAGGTTTTGCCATATCAATGGCGGATATGAACTAGTATCGGCACCGTCACTTTCGCAAGTCAACGGCATGCGAGGAATTGTTCAGTGTGAGTTCTTTCTCAATCACTTTCAGTTTGATGGTGACCAAGAACCTGCATTCAGAACAAAGCTCCAACCAACTCAGATGCCTCAAGAAAATTCTATACACCAAAGTGCTTTAAAGCCGGTTGTGTACCTCCCACAGACTGACTGAATCTGAGTTATTAGAAATAAACGCTTACATGGCTCTTGTGTTCCATTCCTACGTCGCATTGTACTGACCCCCCAAATGTACAGGCCTCGCAACATCCGCTTAGGAGCATCTTCAACGTCTTCCTTTATCAGTCACTAGAACGCCGCCATTGGTATGGCACAGATGCCGTTTCACAGATGATAATAGTGATCAAAGTGGCCAGTCTGAATTTCGGAAAGAGTCTTTTGAAGGGGAGACTTCAGCGTCCCAAAAAATGATATATAAACCAACACGCGGCACTGACATCATGCCCCTGCGGTGGTGCTGCTATTGGCAGGGCGCATACGCGGACGCTCCACTTGACATGAATCTGGTGCATGCGCAGTGCCCACATCCCATGCGGAAACTGCGTGTTTGCCCACACCTTGTGAGGGCTTGTTTGTAAACAGTTTGTTGGTCTATACACCTTCTATGAATTACTACTGTTTGCATGTTTAATTTTGCGGACCCAAATGCACATAATGCGTGATGCGCTTCTCAGCGAGCGATTTTAAATTTGTAAAGAATTAGTGAGAATTGGATTAGAACAAATCAATCAATTGCCTGAATTTGCCGGGCCATGTCCGACAATTTAAGAATTTATTAAAATTTCTGCTTTTCTTTTTAGCAGAAGTTGCGATGTCACAAACTTCTTTGCCACGTATTCGATGCAGGAGGAGCTAAGTGTAAGTTACTGACGAGCATTTGCTCATCAGCAACTGTCGAGTTGCACTTGGATAGAAGCGTCAGTATCAGCAAGTTCAGTGTAGCTAAAACAAGTGTAAGGCGCTTTGCAGCACGACTGTGCGTGCATGCACAGCTAAGAAGACCGCACATCATTTGCTCTGGTGAATGCAAAACTTTTTTCTACAACAGCCTCCACAGATCCAAAAATGCACTAATCAGAGAGGCTGTGAATAGCCCTGACGCACGTCGCGCAAGCTGTAATATGAAGCTCCAGGGTTGCTTTTTAACATTTTAAAGTTGTTAATATAAGAAGCAACTTCGAGGCACTGTTATTCATTAAAAAAATCACTCACAAAAATGTATACACATTTCTTTCATAAATACACCGTTTTTAATCGGCATAGATTCAAACTAACATAGCCACACCGTGCTTTGACATAGCGTGTCGTCTGCTCGCATTCTACCAGCTCTATCACAGGAGGCCGCCCGTGAGGCGGCGCCACCAAGACATTTTGTCACCAGTAGACCTTATTCGTTTACCCTCGTCCCCAGCCACCTGGTAGGCATATCCGGTATGGGCGACGAAAAAAAATAATAAAATATTTCATCTTGCAAATAGCTGTGCACTTGGTGGACCAATCAGCTGCCTCCCTTTCATCACCTGGCGCCATTCTCTGCGCTTGGTTATGCGCAAGGGAGCATGATCACATGGCAGAAGATAAAAGTGTGGCTGGCCCATCAAGCATGTAGCTCGCACAGCACTTGTCAGCTTAGGGGGAGTGGAGGATAGTTGCTCGCAGTACTGCGGAAGCTACAGGCGGGAAAGGGGGAAAAGCAACTTTTGTCCGAATTCGGAGTGACGGGCTAATCTTCTAGGGGGAGAATGGCGACGGCTGGGTACCTAAACGAGGGTCCGAGTAAGAGGGGAGTTCCTTCTTTCCCTCCTCCTCAACTGTTTGGTAATGCTGCGCGACTTGTGAGTTGAAGAAAAGCTAAGAAGGAAGAAGTTGAAAAACGCAAATAAACTATTGCTTTTTTTCTCCTCTTGTAGGCTGTTATCAAAACTACCTGTATGGCAGGAAGTGATCTTTCCGGGCGCTAACCTAAGTGGTAAAGTTTGGGGCCCCCCCGAATGCCCCTTCCGAGTAAAAAGTGTAAAAAAGTGTGGATCTCGTGTTTGTGCTAACAGTGTTGCACAGTGTACGCACCTTCATAGTTGATTGCATATAACTATGTACCTTCAATGTCATCATCTTCTTTGCAGTGAGAAAAAATGGGGAATCGGACGTCAAGAATCTGGTCAAGCATTTCAGATCTAAGGTGACGTCACAATCTTGCCCTCTGAATGGTTCTGCAGCAGTGGCATCACTGGGAAGGGGACCGCCCCTGGGTGCAGCGCTCAGGGGGGTGCAGCTGGGCAGTGAAAGGGGGGGGAAGGATGTTGCTGCGGACCATTTCCCCGGATGCCGCTGACCCTGGTGACTCCGCTGTTCTGTAGTCATACACTAGTTGGTAAATGTCAGTATATAGAAATCAGGCGTGTTGACTGCGTCGCAGTGGTCGCCTATTATGCGCTGCCACCCAGCGGTAGCCGGCGCGGAATCATCGGGAAGCAATGTCAAGAAACTGCATAGTGGACAGCACCCCCGTCCTGATTATGACGGGATCTAAGGCGGTTGTGAATCTAGAAAGGTTCTTTTGTGGTGTCTATACGACAAAGAAAAACACTTCTTCACGAATCTGGTCACTTGTACAACGTGAAGGATGTCCGTTTTGACGGACAAGTGGACAACACCGAACTATACTCCGCAAACGAAATTCTGCGTGCGTAAGAGTTTTCTTAGTTGGCGTTGAGTGGACTGTGCTAATGATGTACATTTATTGCTTTCTGAATCAGCTTGACAACAACCGGGTAATTGTTTTTTCGCTATTCTGCGATTCCCTGCCTACTCTTTTTCTGTGGGCTGATGGAAATATCCAAGGGTGGGTTGTAGCTTGGGTGAGCAACCTTGCTCCGCTTCTCGTTCCCGGTGAAGTGTTTGCTGCATATTTTAGAGTTTGCTGTAGGTGTCCATGTTGTTCCATCGTCGCTAGAAAAAGGTAATTGTATTATTCGTCAGCAGCCTAAAGCAAAACGCGAACTGCAAGGTGAGAGACGCCACTTACTCGCATCGACGCACAAGTTGCATCCAGGTCGCGTGGCGCTCCGCGTCGTACGACTTTGGAGGGAGGCGCCGTAAAACTTTGTGCCGTGCACATTCTTGTACGTACTGTTGCAGCCAACTTTGCAGCGGTTGTGGCTTTTTTGGTGCGGAATAGCCATTTCAGAGACTACAGCGCTTAAACATTAATATCGCTACAACACAACTAACGCAGCGACTGGCAGAAGCTTCCCGATGAAGCCGACCTGTTTGCTTCTGGGGCGCCCAAGTTGGGGCTTGAGTTACGTCCGCCCAATTTGCATTGTGTTGTGTATATGAGCTACAATAATCACACGTGACTATTTACAGCCAAAGGAGACGGAGCCAGCTGCTTTGTCGATATTGGACATCATCGGAACGAGCTACAACCATACGCCACCTCGAGCCAAACCTGACTGTCCCCGGTAAACGACATTACCGTCTTTGATTGGAACTTAATCTCCAGATGAATTTTATTTTTCACTCTACCTTTAGTCCTAACCTTAGGCTTAACTTGCTTTTTCACTCCAATTGGCAGTTAATCTTGAGCTTAGACTTCCTTTTAACTCCACCTTTTATAATCTCGACTCCCTTTTCACTTCATCTTTCAGTGGTAGTTACTGTGAACTCCCTTTTCACTTCATATTTCTGTGGGAGTCACCCTTTAGTTCAACATCCCTTTTCACTCCACTCTTGGTGCTAACCTTTGGGTTAGCCCACTTTTTTCCTCTGTTTCCCATTGGGAGTTATTCTGGAGTTTAGGCTCTCACTTGACCACCTTTAATATAGAGTTAATCTCGACTCCCTTTTCACTCCAATGATACTCTCGATCACCGTTCTAGCAAGCAGAGGGACCTGGCAAGCGATGCTGCGAACGCGCAGGTCATCATGGAGGAGATGCAGATGCTGTTGGACATGATGAAGCAGCCTGGGCCAAGTGGTAACTGCTTTGTACCATGCATATGTGCATGCTTTATGCATGCATTGTGTTTTGCCTTTTGGCATCTGGCAGTATTGTTATGCTGAGTTTTCTGTTTTTTGTTTGTTTTGTTCAGGTTCCGGAGCAACTTTTGCAAGGTATGGCTACGTCTATCTATTCAGATAAACACAGCTGGTGTTTGTCTGTCTTCTTTCACTGTTTTTTTTTCATTGCACCATTTGTACTTTTTATAATGAACCAGCTGCCCAACCGTGTACATTACTCAAGTTCTGCTCCAACATTGCACGTCACTGAGGAAAAGGGAGTGAGAGAAATATCTGAAGTGACCAGTTTCCGTGCAGAAAAAAAAGTGAATTTCGAGCCGCAAATATTTTTCCTTGGCTGTTGGGCGCTTGCATGTTTCGTTTCCGTGAAAATCCAGGTAGGCGATAATACTTTGCGTAGGAGCACTCTAAGAACATGTTGGCTTCTTATTTGTTGGCTTCGTCGTGCACCCGTTGCTCTGCCTTTTAAGTCTGCATTTAGACTGTTCACTTTTGACATTCTCTGCCAGCCCAAGCCGCTCGAGAGACGTTGAGAAAACCGAGAAGCCCGCCAGGGTCGAAAAATCTGCCGCGAAGGTGCCGTCGCCGCCGTCGCCGACGAGCGATGAGAAGTGGGCAGGCGAGGACGACAGCCTGCTGGTTGCGGCGACGCAGGAAATGGAGATGACCGCCGAGATGAGGTGAGAGCATGTCTCGACACGTGCGGCGCCATGTCACGCGATGTGGCATGCTAAGTTGAGAAGTATACCATCAAGTCCTGTGGTGCATCCATGACCTTTCTGTTTAACACTACAGTATACGTTTCGCGACGCCAGTCTGTACTCCGTTTCACCTTACGTCCGGACGCAGCGGACGCCTACAAGCTATCCCAGTCAATCTTGCTCTGTGGACGCAGTCCGTGATATGCTTTCCGCGTGTCGCTGTGCCCCCTCTCCAAGGTCACGTGACCCACACATGGCCTTGGATTGGCTCCTATGGCTCGTAACATCAGCTGCGCTCGGACGTAAGGTGAAATGGAGTATAGTATGAGAGAGTTGCACGGTACGTGTTGATCGCATGGCACTCTCGACGCCTGATTGGTGCGAATCACTTGCACGGATTGCTAGGGCGAAACAAAGCATGGTCTCCGTATATCTTTCTATATAAAAAAATAGAGTATGTTGCCTTTTAGAGGGCAGCTCTTAAGTGCCCGTCTCCGGCTTGAGCGGCATTGCCGCCAGCGTAACCGTGAGGTCTCGTGACCTCACGGAAGTCACGTGATCTCACAGGGGTCACGTGAACTCATGAGGGTCACGTGACCTCACGACGGTCACGTGACTTCATGTCACACGTTGCACTATGGGAAACGTCCCTCCTCCTCCTCTCTCTTCCTTCCTCCTCCTTATCGAGAGCTGCACTCTAATTTTGCATTACAGAGATTTGAAAACGTCTTTCAGTTTTTTCATTAAAGAAAAAGTTTGAGGGCCTAGCAGAAAGGCGTACAACGGAATGTCCGCATGTAGGGAACTCGAAACCTGTCGTCGATGTTTTCACTGGCTGTGTCGCACAGTGTACCTTCCCAATGATGCCTCCGGGTTTGTGGCACTGTTTGTTTTGTAGGACACCGTCGAGACTGGTGAAAGTGTCACCGGCGTCGCCTAGCGTTCCCACGGCGGCGTTGCAGACGCCTCCCAACATCTCGATGTTTGCGTCGCCAATGCGGTGCCACCTGAAGCGGGCGTCACCACGGGACCGGTCGAGCCTGCTGCGCAAGTCGCCGAGGCTTCAAGCCCTGTCGCTGAACCGCACATCTTCTCCGCCGCAGCAGCGGAGCCTCGTTCCCGTCGCGGTGTCCGCTTCAGAACGGGCCCCGGTGAGGGAGTCGTCGCAGTGCGGTTGGGCCTTGTCACGGGCGATTTTGAGTGACTTACTACTGGCTCGAAATTTCGCTGGAATGCATGCTGGAAACTGTTTCCCCATACGTTTCTAGGTGCTCATTAGTTAGGAAATATGCATATAAATGAATTATACTCGATCGACTTGAACAGAAAATTATGAAGCCACCGAAGGACAAAAGTTTTGGCGGCACCAGGACTCGACTAAACACAGATATGGCGAAGTTACGAATATAAAGGAGTTCTTTTTTTTTAACTTGGTGCTCATTTTGAATTGAGCCGGAAAAATTGGCATCTGTGCTTAGCGAGCTCAGTTTTTCATGAAAAGTATGCTGAGCGCAAGTTCGTCTGCTTCTTGTGCAGGGGTTGCGATGACATCAGAACGCTGAGCTCTGATTGGCTCTGATTGGACGGATAGTGGATAGACCTCGAGGCAGCTAGCATTGAGGTCTACCCACTCTCCGTCCGATCCAAGCTAATCAGAGCTCGACGTCCTGACATAATCACAACCCCTGTGAAAGAAGCAGACGAACTTGCGCTCCGCATACATAAAGGGTGATTTTTACTGTGAGAATAGAATTCAAGGTGTAGCTCTGTTTTTGTAACAGATATGAACAGCATCTTTGAGAATTGCATCAATGGGAAATGAAAGCAATCGCAATTGTACAACCCCCCCCCCCACACACTTTGCAAACATGTCGCTCAACCCCGTCGTCTGCTTTGAGAGACCTGTGACCCCGTTTCGTAACCGTCTTCCGAGTAATAATTGAAGTACCGCATTATTTTGTTGCCCGACAGGTTCAATCCCCGGGACCGATCTTTGACGAGGATGACGGGGATGAAGCGCTCTTGGATCAGATCTGCAGCACATACGAACAGCAGCAGGAGTTGGAGAGGAAAATGGCCGCCAAGTGTCCACCTCCGCGTGCTGACTCTGGAACAGCAGCAACCTCCTCCAGACTCGACAGAGGCAAGCCGTCGCCGACCGAGGTTGCCACGACTCTTGGATGCAGCGTACACGTTGCAACCTCTGGACTGCTCATCAATGAGCCAAAAAGTGCCACAGGCTTTAAACCTTGTGGAGTGACAGCACGAGTAGCGTCAAAGACGGCCGGTTCAGAGGGCGGTGTTGCTTTCGAAAGCGGCAAGAAGGGCGCTGTTTCGAGTTCCCTTTCCCCGCATGGCACGGTGTCTTCGTCTCACAAAGCGATACCTTACGTGACACCGTTGAATTACGCCCACTCTAAGGTCGCCGGCACGGCAAACGACTGCGGAGTCTCGAAGAGTGCCGACGTGTCTTCGAAGAGACTTGGCATCGTCTGCAACACGAAAGTGCTGCCGCCGACTCTCCTGCCCGGGGCTCGCAATGGGAAGCACGTCTCAGGCGTGGTCAGCAGCGGCTCCAACTCTTGGGTCGTCAGCACTACTGCGACAGGACGTTCTGCCGTCAGCAACGGAAGCGGGACGTTGCCCGTCTTGCCGAGCGTTGCACAACCTTCGTCCTCGAGGAACTCGGCTTGGGCAGTGGTGACGACGACAACCCGAAGCCTGCCGACTGTACCCAAGTCGAAGTCACCCTTCAGAGCCCAGGCAAGGGTGCAGCTTTCAAGGGCCAAGACAACCAACACGGCAGATGCGAGTATAGACTTCGGAGACGACGACGACGACACGGACTTCGCGACGCCCGACGTCGTGTCCTGGCTGGAGAAAGTGGAGTGTGAGTGCCGTCTGCTTTTGGACACCTTTCCGGTGCTGTCACCCTGGTGAAAAAATGCCGAGTCACTGGGCCGTGGATGCACGTGCGACGTGTAACATCCGGTAGAAGAGGGGTACTGCGTGTGCTCGAATCGTGTTCCATGGCCTTGCGGACAAGGATGGCAGCGCTCGGGAGGCAATTGTTAGAATGGCCTATTCGCAACTCGAGCCCGCCACTCGCCCTCTTGTGGACGAACGGAGAACCAGAGGAGCGGGGACGGCAGTGGCGGCAGCGGCACGGAAACGGTGGAAGGGACTGTCGGCCTTGATGCGTGAAGCCGTTTTAACGAAAAAAGTGAGCGCGTTAAAAAAGGAATTTTTGTGCTCCGCCTTGCAGCACTACAGTGTTTCACGAAGGACCGGGACGTCCAATTTCATTACGGACTTTTCGTATATCGCATACGCTGCGGGTTTCTGGTCTTGTGCATGATCATCAGCTCAGTCTGTGCTTAACGTGACGGCGGCAAACGCTCCTGCTATTAATGTAGAGCACTATAGTACGGTCTACGAAAAGTCTATTTTTTGCCATAAGTAGGAGAAAACTCGTCGCGCAACGGTATGTCGAGCAACAGACACCGGGAATGGGTTCGCGCTTTAAGGCCGTTACAAGGAACATGACCATTTATTCCATGCATTTTCAAAAGACAAAATACGCGTACTTACTTTCAGGTAATTACAAAGGAAATAACGAAATGTTCGAAGCATTTTAAGCGCGTCTGTATTAGCCAGCTGTTCGTGACGAGAGCTTAGAACAGGCAGTTTCGGCGAGAGGGGCCGCAACGTTGCAAATAACACAATACAAAAAACGTATGGTATATTAAAATATTTATTTTTGATAGAGCGATTTATAAAACCCCTAAACATGCCGATTATGTTAATAAGCAGTTTTAGCATAGCATACAACACCCATAAACTGCAGTTCGACGTACAGCACACTGACATTCAACCGACGCTACCACCTTTCACGAGCGGCTTGACAGCCGAGTTGTACAACTTATTAAAATAGCTTAAATAAGTGTAAATGACTGTAAAAAAACAAGTAATCGTTTTTTGCTTTTTTGTTTTACTGCAAAGCTTTGGTGTTTTTTTTTTTTTTACTATTTGATGCATACTTTAGCTCTTTAAAGTCTTATATCGCACCATCATCAAGCCACTCGTAAAAGTTGCGGCCGTCAGTTTGACATCCGTGCACTGCACAGCGAACTGAATTTTTGGGGTGTCGTATGTGCGACAAGGGGTGTAAGGTGTTTTCTTTTAAAGTGAAGAGCACGGCAATGTTCCTGGCGCGCGCGGAAAATTATGCTTCAAAGGCGCAGCACAAACTTCTGGTTGTAATGTTACACCGCACGGTAGCCTGCGATAACAAACTTTCTATCAGTAACCATAGAGCAGTTTGATCACATGTTGCAATACACTGAAACCGAGACGGTGAACAGCGAGTTGTGAGCCTGTGACATGAAGACATCAATACTGTGAACACTGCCTTTCCGAAGTTCGACGGTCACCGTTCGTGGTCACGTTTTAGAGCACTAATGGTCAGGCAAAGCGCAAACATGATATGTTCATCACCCTCAAAAATACTCTGCCACAAACGGGGACGTGTATGGTGCCCGAAATGCGCTCGCTCACCACAAAGCTTCGCAAGTCGAGGTTTCTGCAACTTTTAGGTATCAGCATGCTCGTTTTCGTAACGTGCATCAACATCTCCCTCACCTGTAATATGATCCCTCCCCAACCGCTTCACATTTGTAGACAAATAAATAATTTTTAGCGCGTGACCAGCGTCAGCGAGCAGGCGCACGGGAAATCCTAGAGAATCTATCCCTGTCTCTTCCGCCTTCTTGAAACTACCGCCCCGCCACCTATGGGGCGTTGGAGTTGCGAATATCATACTTTCCCGTGGGGATTTGTAAACATGGCACAGCTTACAGTTGTGACTGTGGGTAGAAGCAGTGTTTACTTCAAATATAAACTGAACTGCAAATGAGATCTCGCGTCAGTGCTGTCGGGTTTTGGTTTCTCTTCCTAGCCTCGAGATTTGAAACCACATCAATGCCTAATCCTCTTGCCTGCATGCTTTTATGTATTTTCGAGATGCAAACATAAAGTTAACATAACAATCTAGAGGGAAAGGTCCCGTGCCTTTCGGCCGCTTCGGAACGGCTGGGCATTGACGCGGGCATTGGTTGTCTCGATGGAACCGCACTGCTGGTGACGCGTCTATATAAACAAAGAAGCGGGAAGACATCACCTTCAAGGTCTGTGTCTAGATTTTTCTAGTTTTAATGTGCACGAAAACACGGGCGTCATACGGAATAAAATTATGTTGATGAGCACTCGAGCAGCTTCAGCTCGTTGCTGCAAAACAAACATGCTTGACCTATCGTCTGCTTTCTTTCTCCTCTTTTCTGTCACTCCATTTCTCTCGAGGCCTCTGACGTTGGTGCCAGTTTGCTGCGTTCTGTCTTTACCGCCGGGGCCATAAATGGTCACATTGTTTGTTTGTCTATTTCCTCAGCCCAGCGTGCTCCGAGCCAGAAATGCACCCCAGAGGAAATCGCCAAGAAGAGAGAGGAGGCCCTGCGTCGCCGACAACTCAAGGCCGCCCAAGCCAAGCACCAGTGGAAGGGACGCCTGCGGCCGTCCAGGTGACTGCAATGGCTGAAGCTGACGGAAGTCGTGAACTGAAGCTACATTGTGCGTATTTCAGGAGACATTAGGAAACACGCTTACAAACATGTCGCAAGAATCGTGTGGGTGTGACTTTGCCTCGTTTGTTCAGGTAATTGGGCCTTTGTCAACGATGTGTCTGGAATGCCAGAGGCTGGCATCTTTAGACAATCAGGCTGTGGACAGTCGACATAAGAGCATCAACTTCTGATGTTGTAACAGTTAAGCATCCTCCAGGGAGACATTGTGGGCGTTGTTGCTGGGTTACTGTACAAAGAATTATCAAGATTCGTGTTTGGCGGGACGGACAGCTAAAAGCAGCCTTCTGGAAAGCTTTCAGGTTCTGTCGCGGCGGTTGATCACATACCTGATCTGATGTCAAACCAGATTGTACTGTGTGTTTGTGTGTGTGCATAAGATCACTGGGACACTTGTGTTTACACATCTGTATCTTGTAATGCAAGTGAAGCCTTTAGTTCACTGACATGTTTGTTCCTCAATGCAAAAAGCATGCAAAAAATCCGGCTGATTTTTTTTTTTTTTTTGTAATTGTGTTTGTATTAGCTGGATGAAGTTGAGATATTTTCGTGCCTGTGCTTGATTAGGTGAAATAAAAACCGTAGAAATGTTTGCTGCAGAAGCCTCATTGCTGTGCCATTGGTTCATAGGTTTGTGGTCAGTATATGGCCAAATTAATTAAACACTTTATTTTTATTTATTTGTTTTATGAAAGGTTGCAAAAAGTACTATAAAAGTAGAATTCATTTCCGTAGCACAGGAGCTGGCACAGGCACATCCTAGTGCAGGCAAATGGATTGGCCCTATTTTTGTGGCGTCACCCGTGGGATGTCCTAGGGTTCCAAAACTGCCATTCGTTGTACCTTTTTCTTTTTATATATATATATAAATATATACTTCCAAGCCCTTGTCTGTCGAGCTTCGGGCATTTTCTTTCCATAATTTAATTTATTCTAGCTTGGGATAGGAATATGGCCCACAGACTTGACCACAATCAACTGTAGCAGTCTCTATAGCTTCGAGGAGGGAAAGGAAATAATCATAGAGCTATTATAATGTATGTAGGAGGTTCAACTGGCGCTAGTGTCCATGCGATTTCTGGGATGCAAGTAGGCAGCTCCAGCCTACTTTTGCAGTGTTCTTGTGCATTCCTATGGGAAAACTCGCGTGCATTATGTCTCTTCACCAGAAAATAACATGGAACTCTTTTGTTATTTGGGTCATACGAAATAGTATGTAGCTTTACTAACATTGTAAAAGTGTAATTCCTTTAGTTACATCATTTTTCTTCATCGGTGAACAATGTTTTACTGTAAAACCCTTAATATTCGCAAGCCTCTAATTTTCGTGAATTTTGCGACTTAAAAAATTTGCTAACTTTGGTGGCCACCAATATTTCAATTGTGCGTAGAGGTGAAATCCAGCTTTTAGAATTCGCAAAATTTAATGGTAGCGAATATACCCCCACTGGCCAGTTTGCTAAAAATCGGGGCCGCGAAAATAAAGGGTTTTTGCAGTATATGAAAATGGCCTTGTCGTACATCTTTACGAGCGGTTCAAAACGTAAAAAATAAAGTATGTGGGCTATGAAAGGTGCCTCTTTTTATTATTTCCTATGCCAGGCAGCTTTTATCGGGCACATGTTTTCTGGCTTTTTCCTATTTTAAAAGATTTTGTGCGTGCGGTTGATGTTTTGAATGCAGAACAAGCATCTTTGAACATATGTGCACGAGCAGAGGGAATAAAGCAATGCAGAGAGCAAGTCATCTGCTTCTTGCGCAGGAGTCGCAGTGACTTCAGCACAACGCCGAGCCATGGCCAAACTTGATTCGCGTGCTTCTTTTTCGCATGGCCTTTTTTGTCACAAGAGAAAGCATGTACAGACTGATAACCCTGGAGCGTGGGGACAGAAAAGTGACTGTCAGACACGAAAATCCGAATGCAGCCAAAGATTTATTTTTCAGACTACATCCTTAAATAGGCCCACAACCACACAAGGAGACGCACACTGCCTGAGGTCGCACAACCATGACAGATAAGAACAAAAGACCCCGGTGACCTACAAGAGGTTACTAGTTTGTAGGGACACAAGGAAACTCTGAAAGAACCAATGCACACTCTAAAGACAAGCGACCAACACAAAGGAACCAAGATAAGCACTTCAACTACACCTTTCCCCCCCTTTGCTTTAACAAGAAAGCATGTGCATCTTTCTGCGTGGGGGCACGGGCACCCTACTATTCTCGCTGTTCCATTATGCTAACCTTGCTTAGAAGGGTCGGTTTCTCGTGGCCCAATAGTATATTTTGTGTTTCCCGAATAGCACGTCAATATCGGGGAAGACTTCTGGCGTGTCTTTCCACCAGCTGCCCAGCGATGAATTCCTAAGCACCACGTGAAAGAAGAAGATACCAAGAAAGAACCTTTTTGTCAACCAGTACCCACCTGTGGTGTATGCGTAAGGTCCTTTATTCCCTTAGTGAGGCATTTAGCAGATTATTGTTATAATGGCAATCAAATGAGCAAACAAGATAACGCTCATACCCTGCGATTTTTGTGCCATGGCATTACCTCAAGGAGAGTCAGCATTCAGGTCTTCGACCAGCACTGTAATTATGCTTTTTCTATTGATTCTCGGTGTTCATACTCAGAATTAACGTTCACCGCCTGTCACTGAGAATCCAGCAGCACCTTATGCACACGTCGCATTTCCAGCAGATCGTAAGCAATAGGGCATAGCAGGCTCCGCGATAGTTTCCAGACGATTTACGTGTTTGCTTTTTGTCGGCTTCTCCAGTTCGCTTTCAGTGGCATTGCCAAAAAGGGGAAGAGAGCAAGCGTGCAAAGCTTTGATCAGCGCTCCAGGGCGCACTACCGTACCTGTGATTGCAGCCGCGTTGTGGCGCAGCTGCAATGCCTCACTGGACAGGCTGTAAAAGAATTGTGTTTTGTGTGTATGCTTATACAGCCTGAAGTTAGTCCGCCACAAAGGGTGATTTGTCTTTTGACTGTAAATGAGCAATACAGCCAGTGCAGTACAACTGCTAGCCTGGGTCTTTAACATATACACCACGCATTACTGATACATGACTGCACACTGGTACGATGCTCATCCAGATCGGAATGGGCAGGGTTGGGGATTGAACCCGGGATCCCTGGGTTCTGCAACACGAGCTATCACTCCATGTGCTCCAAGCTGGTGTGTGCTTGCCCACTCGGCCACTGACACCCCAACAGGCCGTAAGACAGCGAGCCCGTATCCAATCCGGCCGTGGCCAAGCTCTGAATGGCTTGATTGAAAGGATAATGGAATCCTTTGACCTTAGGTTCAATCCCCACCCCTGCTCGTTTCGATGTGGATGAGCATCGTACCGGAGTGCGGTCGTGTTACTATACTGCGCAGTGCACGTAAAGACCCCAGGCTAGCGGTTGTACAGCACTGGCAAATTGCTCATCTACAGCTGAGAGACAAGACACCGTTGAGGCAGACTAAGTTCAGGCTGCATAAAGATATCAACAACCCCCTCTTTTTTTCTTCGAAAGGATATTGGGTTGACCTTAATGCTAGATGTCTTGAGGTCTACCCACTATTTTTTTCAATCAGCCAATAAGAGCTCGGTGTTCTGACACTATTGCAACCACTGTGTGGGAAGCAGATACACTTGCACTCCGCATATAGTACTTATTTATTGCAAATTGGGACTATACGCGGAGAGCAAGTCGTCTGCTTCTAGCACAGGTGTTGTGGTGACGTCAGAACGACACCGAGTTCTGATTAGCTTTGATTCTAGGGTAGTGGGTATACCTCAAAGCAAGCTACCTTTAGTCTACCCACATACTATCCTTCAATCCGAGCCAATTAGAGCTTGGCTCGGAAGCAGACGAACTTGCGTTCAGCATTAACTTGGCCCTCACTTTATTTTGATAGTTTTCATGCACAGGGAGTTACTGACCCAGTGTTACTGCGTAGTTTTCATTTCCGTGCTTGAGAAATGTTAAAAACTATTACATTATAATTATTTGTAATATTTATTCTTATAATCAAGTGCAGAAAAAAAATGCACCTGCTTTTCCCCGTAGACATTCGGTACTGGATGTCAATTTTCGACTGGTGTCTGCGCTTCCATTTGAAACTACTATCAACTAAGGGACCTTATTACTATCAACAGCACACTAGCGCCAGCTGAACCTCTAGCGTACATTATAATATTTCTATGGTCACTGTCACTCACTGATCTCTATGACCATTGCTGGATTTCGTATCTCCGCTTGGTCGCTGCAGCGCAAGTGCGGCCACCAATTGGCCATCTTGCATCTCAAAAAATAATGTTTTTGGAGCGTTGCGGAGACTGGCAGCAGCGTGCTGAAGACACGTTTTCTACTTGTTCGTCGTCATTTGCCTGAAGAAGTTCTTTAAAACCCCGGCGTGTAAGCCGTGAAACTTCCCGTTGAGAACATGTGGAAATTGTGAGAAAAAAAGCACAACTTGTCGAAAGCAAGTTTTGCCGGGCGTGATGAAACCTTCCTTGGGAGAAGTGCTGTATCTCTGTGCCTTCGCATGCTTGGATACCGATCAAGTATCGACACCATGTGGAAGTGTTTTGCGAGTGCAATATGTGCTTGAAGCCGTATGTGCCTCTAAAGCAGCGTTTTACTTTACTCTGACTGTACTTGTAACTTGCAGCACTTGCGGTCCAGGAACAAACTTGATCCAGCGTCCAGTGCCGACGGAAGAGGGGGAGGCAGAGGCTTGTCTTTTTTTGTATCATTAGACGGTTTACAGAATACACGCACAACAGCTCCGTATCACTGATCAGCACTGGCTCATTATCAACCTACTTTATTGCACTTGTTGTTTGAGCGCGGCTCGCCTAATTGTGATTGGTCGACAAATTTAACACGACCTGTGAGCAAGTGTCGCCATCTATCGTTGCATAGAACAAATGTTTATACTACTGCCACCTGTTGTACATTTTGATAAATAAATAGTTGTTATACCCAACATATACCCAACAGACCGTATGGGCCGCGCTTCAAAAATTTTCATTTTCGCCGTTTCGAAAACCTTTCAAATGCCCTATAGCATTACTTTATTTGTGCTGCCAAGTGATCCATTGGAGTAGATTTAGAACATAGCCATGGTATAATAGTGCACAAGAGCAACCGTACAGATTGTTTTCCCCCCTTTATTGATTGCAACTCTCCGGAACAACTGGACGATCCAGAACTCCGTGGCCGATATACGATGCGGACATGTACGCGTGACACACCTTCAAAACTTTGCAGCGGCGCCGATGCTTGATCGGTATCCAAGCGTGCGAAGGCACAGAGACACAGCGCTTCGGCGTGCCAAGGAAGCTTGGATCACGCCGCGAGACCGGCGAAACTTGCTTTTGACGAGTTGTGCCTTTTTCCTGCGGCACTGCGGTTCCATAAAAATTTCCACATGCTCTCAACGGCAAGTTTCACGGCTTAGAAAGGGTTGTAAAGAACTTATTCGGCGAATGATGACAAACGAGTAGAAAACGTGACTTCAGCACGCTGCCGCCAGCCTCCGCATCGCTCCAAAAACTCGATTGTTCGAGATGCAAGATGGCCGTCCGGTGGCCGCCCTCGCGGAGCAGGGATGTCGCTACGCAAAATAAAAACAAAACAAATCTTGAAGTAGTGTTGTAAATTGGGCTAGTTGATAACTGCTAAACATGATGAAAAACAGTCTCACTAAATACGGATGACGAATAAGAAATGAACGCGACAAAACAGCAAAAAAAAAATCTTAAACGTCTAAGCTACTAGAGGGCGCGACACGCCGCCTAATTCAAAACGTTAACTTGCAGTTATTTATCCATTTTGATTTATAATGCTCGCCTCTCGTCTTTTTTTTCTTCTCGTTCTTTTTCGTCCTTGACTCACTTCGCGTCGTCAGCGGAAGCAGCGTTAGCAGCGTCAAGGCAGACTGCAGCGTTGGCCAGTTCGCGTCAAGCCGCGCCGTTTGACTTTAGCCATCTGCGTCGCGCTGTGCACGTAAACAAAGCTCAGGTCTCGTACCGCGGCCACAGGACTCCACCGAGCAGAGGATTGTCAGCGAGCGAGACGACTGTTGGAAGCGTTTAGACATGGGCAGGGAATTCAACGTGGTCGTCTTCGGGGCGACAGGTGTGACGGGCCAGTACGTCGTCGAAGAAATGCACAGGACCGCACTAGCCGAGGATCCCGGCTTGAAATGGGCGGTGGCTGGCAGGAGCAAGGAAAAGCTGGCACAGACGCTCAAGACAGCCGCACTGAATCTCGGGCTCGAAGGTATTTAAGCGTTCCTCTTTTACTTATTCATCTCTTTCCTTCGTTTTGCCGGCCTACGCTACGTCTAGCGGTGTGGGCGGTGGTCGCTACGCAGCTTGCAGCAAACGTTATCCGTCGGCGTTAACGCCTTCTCTTAGATGTTATCGCTTAGTAACTGCCAAATTGTTGCCTTAGTTATAAATTTGCAATTGGCAAAGCTCTCTGGAAAGACGGAATTTTCTCGAATTGTCCGTTTTGAGAGCGAAATTTCCACATTCGAGATACGTTGCGCTGCACTTTATTTAATTTTTATCGCGTGTTAAGTATAGAAAATGTGTCGATAATGTATAAAAATGAAAGAAAAAAAAAAGAAAAAAAGGTCGCTCACCCAACCAACGTATCTAGAGCGTAGAGGTAAAGAAAACAAAACAGGCCATTCCTCATTCCTGAGGCGAGGAACCGGACTGTGCAAAGCGCGTAGGAGTGTGAAGAGCCAGTAAAAAAAAATAAACAGCAAAGAAAAAAGAAAGAAACGCCGCGTAAAGTTCACGTCCGTCCGTGACGCGGTTCTTAAAATAGACCGTGCTCTTTTTGGATATCGGCGACCCTCCGGGTGAAAGGAGGGATCCGTCTAGACTGCCCCCCTCCCCCCCCCCCCTCGCCCCTCCCCTTTACGTGGCACATCCGATACGATACGCTTACGCTGTGCGCTTTCTTCAGGAAACAACTGCGGCATGTTTCATAAGCCTCCTGCGTTGCCCAGACCACGCTGCAGAAAGGGACTTGTTAGGCCATAGTATAAACTTAGGTGACCTAAACTGTCACACCAGCTTCGTCTGATTTACCTGCATCTCTTGCACGGGTGCAGAAAAGGCGCTTCCGGTGTATGCAGAGTGCAAATTCGTCTGCTTCTTTTGCGTTTTGCAGGGGTTGTGGTGACCGTCAGAATGCGGAGCTCTGATTGGCTCTGATTGAAGGGTAGTGGGTAAACCTTAAGGCAGCTTGCTTTGAGGCCTACCCACTATCCTTCGATCGGAGCCAATCGGAGCTCGGCATTCTGACGTCACCACCACTCCTGCAAACGAAGCAGACGAACTTGCGCTTTGCATTGAGGTTCGACCGGAAGTGTGCGTTCCTGCACCAGTGCAGAACGTGCAGGTAAATCAAACGAAGCTACTGTGCCTGCACTGGTTTGAATGCCGTCGAAGCACAGGTCAAAGCTACGAGCGCGAGCCAAAAGACGCCGTTTCACGCTTTCCAAAATAAAAAAGAAAAGGAATAGGAGCGTCGGGATGCCAGATATTTTGACGTAACCACCCAGAGACAAGACGCGTACCCTAGCGGTGGTGGCATGAATCTGGCACTTTCGATTGTCTTACGGCGTTGAATCTAGCCGATTTCGGAAGTCGAAAGTTGTTTCTTCGTTCTTAGCACTACACAGAAAGAAAAAAAGCTCAGCGAAGGCGCCCCAAGTAGCGCGAGGCCCATTTAGGTGAGCTTGTACTACCCAAAGAAAGGGTGTCGCAGTTTGTTTGAAGCTGAAGCGCAGGAGGTGAATTAGTGGTACATAGCTTAACCCTTTGACTATCAAGTTTTCTTTCCCCAAATGAAGTTTTGTTATTTAACGCGAGCACATACAGTGCTCGCAAGCTGTTCAGGTTTAGAACCATCAAATGGAAATACCGAAGAAGTGAAATAGTGTCATCTTCCTTTCATTTGGTTTTATTCATTCCGGCGGTCTCAAATTTTGAATCAGAAGTAATTTACGAGCTTCTTTATCGGATGATGAGCTCTCATTCTTTGAATTTAATTCTGAGACTCATTAAAAGCCTGAATGGGAAGAGGCAGCGCTCCAATTTTTCACTATCGCCAGAGCAGCCGACGTGCAAAGCGACCAACCTGCACGTGTCACCTGCATGGAAAATTTCATTTCAAAACTATATGTAATTCCCAGCAATGCTAAACGCTGTGCAAATATAGAGTTTATAGTTTACTGAAGACATAACAAATATCGGCACTTCGTATGGTGTTGCATTTAGGCGTACACTTTAAAATGTGTAATCGCCGCCATCATGTACGGCGACAGCCGTCAAAGGGCTAAGAATAGCATCACCTGCTCCGCCCACAAAGTCCTCCCCCTTTTCGTTTTAGCAGAGTGAATGCTGGAGAGAGGGCGAGTGGAGAGGAGGAAACAACCACTCGTGACGAGCAGAGAGCTTTGTTGGAAGGTCTTGTCCGCCTATTCTTAACCTGCAGCAGACTGTAGACCGGAAAGATGCCATAGCAGCAGATTGATTTTTCTATCGTGCCTACGTGGAATTTTATCTTGGATATCTTTGAACGAATTCGATGCGGCTGTGAAGTGTGCCAATTGTTAAGATAGCATGCTTGCTTGCCAGTTCGGTGGTTTTGGAGGCACTGCAACACGACAGATCGGTATGGTTCTGTCTGCAGGTTTTTCCCATCGGTACAACTTAGGGTCACTGCAGTCTGGCTGAAACACTCTTGCATCGAGACTGGTATCTGTTTGTTTTTGTTTGACAAGCTTGGCAGTGTTGGAGACTTTGTGCCATGCTAGCTGTTCCTTTTTTTTTTTTCTCCTATCGGTGTTTTAAGCCATGTCGTGGCAACATTAGCGTCGGACGAGCGAGCGTTGCATTCGTGATCGGGAGCCATGCTGGTTCTGGCATTGCTTGGCTCATCTGAGCCGGAATTGGAGAATATAGATATGATAATCAAATGAAGTTTAGTGCTGAATTGAGAGGGGCGGCGGTTTAGGGGGGGTAGTCACGCGATTTCAACTTCCTGTCGACTTGACTTAAGGCAGTGATTGGAATAAGATATTCGAAGCTTTCTTGCTTACCCAGGGGAGACCGCTGCTTCATCAATGTCTTTATATTTTACGACCGTTGCTTCAATTCAGGTTGCGCTAGATGGAAAAGCAGTCATTGTTTCATATCCTTGTTGGTTTCTTGTGCTGTTCTTTTCTGTTCGGCTAGGCGTGACCTCATTTCGCTTTTTTTTCTTTGTTTCCATCCCTACTGCATCTTAGTGACAGTCTTTTTGAGATTATGTTGACCGGTATGATAGTCTACCATATTGAGCCAATTGGTAAATTTATTTGGCCCAGAAGGTCACCTGCACCAGTTATAGAGAATATGTTGGCTACTTTAGCTAGTGACAGGTAAAGAATGCAGTAGATGCTTTGCCTATAGCATGAGCTTTCTGCCTTTGAGAGTAGCAGTGTTGGGAAGTACTTTAAGTTGTACTTAAAGTACTAGGTTTTAAAAATTTGTGCTTTACTTGAACAATATTCTTGGAGTAAGTTCTCATATTTTACTTAAAGTATTTTTTTCTGGTACTTTCCGAGGAGGGTACAACTCGCGACCTCAAAGTACATTTCCCGAATTTGGTCTTGTTAAATTTCTATAACAAAATGATGCTTTGTCAGCTCTGAAGAAATACTGGGAGGGATATTGTACTCTCACCAGAAACGCGAGCAGATGACTCATTGCTCTGTTTGTTCGAAGAGGCGAATTTCCCGTAGCTTTTCGAACTCTCACTACTTATCGCTTGGTCAGTGCAGGCGAGGAGGTTAAAAATATTGGGAGAGGACAATTAATCATAATTTAACACCCGAGACTGTGGTGCGGAAAAATTAAGAAACTCAAGTTGAAGAATAGATCACCAAGGGGGATGTCTCAGTGTTTTGAGACATTCTCCTCTGTTGTCTTCTCCTTCGACTTGAAAGTTCCTTAATTTTTCTGCACCACAGTCTCAGGTGTCACATTATGGCATTCACATTCATTATGACATTCACATTTCTTCTACTCTTATTGGCTCCATAAAGCTATTTCTCAGTGACCCCCGGTATCTCTCTTCCTCCCATGCCATACTTGAGCACTTCCAGAATGCATAAGGATCAGTTTCTGTTGAAAACTATCTTGGGAAAAAAAAAGTGTGGGGGGGGGGAGGGGGGGTTGAGCTAGTTTTGCTTTGAACGATGTGGTATTTCCTGCAGCAGTCTATTTCCTTCTCTTTCCGGGGAGATAAGTGCAGCCCCTGTTTCGTAATGCGGCTTGTTTCCTCGTCTTTGTGTTGCTGCAACGACCTGCCGAGGCTGCTGCTCGAGACTAGATTCTAGGTTGTACGCTTGAATGTGGCCTTTACCTTCTGCGCAATGGCGTTTTGTTTCCTGTTGCTACTTTTGGAGTCCACAAACGTAGAGGAAAAAAAAAATGTAATGGAAAAGGAGGGGGACTTGCATTATGGATAACCTAGCCTGGATCGATGTCTTAGCTTGCTACTTTATGAAAGGTAGAAAGAAAAATGAGAATGAGAAAGGTTTGTCTTTTTAGGCAATAACTGCAACACATTTTGCAGGGAGGCTGGGGTTGTTTGTTCTAAAGTTTTTGCTTGCTGCAATGGTTCTGTCCGAAACGCACAAGGGGTCGATGTGAGAAGCAGTTCACGTGCCGGCTTGATGGAGTCTTTTTTTTATGTTCCTTTGCCAATTCCGTAAACTCCTCCTGTCTGGTCATAGGAGTCGTGCCAACATTTTTATCGAGGCTCGAGGCAGTTTGAGGCCATCTGCCAACTGGGAAAACCTGGGAGATCTGCGTTGTCGGAGACCTTCTTGGAAAGTTTAGGAAATGTTGGGGAATCTGGCTATAATACTATTGCGGAAATCGGCGTTGGTGAAAAGCGTTACTCTTCCTGCAACGTGCGTAAAAGCAGCATGGACGTATTGTCTTGGTGTATGAGTGCCTCTGCGAATAGGTTGAATGTCGTACAAACGGGTTATCCAAATGTGGGTCTTGTAAATCGAAAGACATTTGTATTGCCTCCCTCCCCCATTGGCACATCATTGCTGTTGTTTTCTTCATAAACATCTTGTCTTTTTAAACTTGAGGGGGAGATGCGAGGTAATAAAAACCTGAGAAATTTGGAATTTTGAAATGCATTTATCATTATCATTTATTTTCCTTGAGGACCTGCTGCTTGTTGGTTGTGCTACTGCAGAGGATTGTCTTTGTCCTTCAAAGGAACACCCTGCGCCTGAGTCGTTTCAGTGCGTGCAGTAAGAGGCATTAAAATGTTTTCTTGCAGAGAATGCATTGGACAAGGTTCCAATCATTGTTGCCGACGTGGCAAACCAGAGCTCTCTCGAGGACATGGCCAAGCGAACCCAGATCGTCCTCAACATAGTGGGACCCGTAAGTCATTTGTTGTCGATCACTTTAGGGCCGATCATTGATTGGCCACAAAGGATGCCAATCAAAGATCAACTTTCACTCCTTGACATATTATGCCAGACACCTAACACAAAAAACTGCACCCCTTCAGCAAGGCTTAAATTTGAGGGGAAGGTTTCTTCAGTCCTGTTGGTAACATAATTTTAGAGAGATTTTGGGCTTATCGTTTGTTCATTCAATACATTTAGTTCACTCATACCCAATGACAACATTTTTGGGGGTGACTTGTGTGATGCTTCTGGTTCCTTTTTCAGTACCGCTTCTTCGGTGCGCAAGTTGTGAAGGCTTGTGTTGAGAATGGTACTCATCACCTTGATGTCAGTGGTGAACCACAGGTGAGGTGTTCATTTTTTTCCCCCTCTTAAATAGAGGGGTTGAATGGCTGGCCAAAAATATGCATTTGTCGGGGTCGGCACTTTCTCAGATAGATTCAGCCATGCCTCTGCTTTATGTTTCAAGCCTGGGGTTCTGCAGTGGAGACGTCTTTTCTCAAATTTTTATAGTATAAAATTGTCAAATTATCACCAGGAAAAGTAGGTAGAGTTCAAGAGGAACTTGCTTTATTTCTAGTTTTCCACTTATCAAAACTTGAACAAGATAAAAAAAAAATATATATGTTGGTTGAACTTCTTGAATAAGGAAGTGTTTGAAACAGTGTTTGGAACCTTTGTTCTTTATCAATACGTTTCAGTTGCATCCCAGAAATGAAGCCTCTCAAAAAGATGTTGTCAGATGTGCTGTTTTCTGCCTAACTAAAAATGTTCATTTGCAGGTTTTTTTAAATTGGAACAGTATGGCTATTTTCATTAAATAGTCATTTAATGAATTTAGTTAGCTGACTTTTTGTTACGATTAGCCTCCTATACTATGTCCCCCTGGCCGTATAACTCACCTGCACAAACCGCATAAGTGTAACTTTCATGGCTTTTTTAAAGAAATCTGTAAAGCTTAAAAAAAAAAAAAAAAACTCCCTGCATATTTATATCTTGCAGTATAACTTTTGCCATGCTGAAACTTGTGCTGCCTCATTGAAGTCTATCCTCGTCATATCATTTATAGCACCATTTTTAACATCTTAAATTCTGAGAATATATGTCAGAAGTTCCTTACGGTATTGTTCCGAGAGATTGCCCATCCCGTTTTGCTGGCTAAATATCTGTAACATAAAAATTCCAAAACGTCCCCCCCCCCCCCAACCCCCCCCCCCCGATTTCCCTCTGACATCACGTGATATCCGACGGGAATCTCATCGATTGCACTATTTGCTGTACCTGCATGTCTGACAAGTGAGTTCATAGCGGGTTCCCGCGTTTTCGTCCGCGATCTGCGCGCGCGATATCGGCTCCCATAACACACGAGTGGTTCTCGTTTGTATGTTGCACTGTGAAATGCAAATCTGCTGCGTCCGCAATCTGCTGTATTCATTACCTTCACGAAGTTTTGTAGCGGATTCCCACGTTTTTGTCTGCGATCTGCGTGCGCGATCTCGATTCCACGAGTGTTGGTCCCGCATGTATATTGCATTGTAAAATAGGATTCTTCTGCATTCGCGATCTGCGGTATTTGTTCTCGTAACATAAGAGTTTGTAGCGAATTCCCTCGTTTTTGTCAGCGACCTGCGTGCGCGATATTGGTTCCCGTGACAGGCAAGTTCGTTGTGGGTTCCCACATGTTCATTGCACCATAAAACTTCGATTGTCTTCCTCGATTTGCAATATTCGTTCCCTTGAAATGCGACTTCCCGGCGGGTTTCCGCGGGTCCATCGCAGCGTGAAATGCGAATCCGCTGAGTTCGCAACGTGCGGTACCCTTTCCAGTGACACAGGAATTTGTAGCGAATTCCCACCTGTTTATCGCATTGTGAAACTCGAATTTGCGGTGTCCGCGAATCTGCGGTATCAGTTCCCGCGTCACATGGTTTGTAGCCGGTGCCTGGGTGTTTATCATTAATTTTTGATAAAAAGTTTTGCTGTGGCATCTTCAAAGATAGCCCACCCCATGTTTTGCACTATTTATCTCTTCATTTTGGGTGGGCGTTCTTTCGGAACTTTACATACTTATGTGGGATGCTGCTGGGCCTCTTTTATTCCCAACCAGGATGCTTGTCAAAAAACAAAGACTGGTAATGCATCGCAATCGCAAAGATAAGACTGTAGTATACAACAGTATGAAAACGAGCGAATACTGTTAAGGTTACGACATTAGAGAAATGAACAAATAGAAAGATTTTTTTATACTTTTGAGTAGAAATGAAAAACGGTTAGCGGCACGGAACGTGCTGGCACGAACCTCGCTTTTAACCTTGTGAACCGTGGGGTGTGCCACAAGTAACTGAGAAAGCTCTGCTTTTGACAGTACCTGGAGCAGATGCAGATTGAGCACTTCCAGGCGGCGCAAGAGAAGGGCATATTTGTCATCGGCGCCTGTGGCTTCGACAGCATTCCGGCCGAAATGTGCCTCACATACATGCACAACAAGTTCCAGGGTGAGTGCACGTTTTTTTCTTGCCTTCTTCCATCGGACTTTTCTTTTTTCTGCACCGTGCAGTGGACTTTTATAATTTGTTAATCCAAGCTCCAGGAAGCTACACATTTGGTTTGAATTGTCAGAAGGTTGAATTATAAAAAAATTGATCTAAATATGATGCAAGGTAAAATTGTGATTTGTTATATGGATGGCTACACACAGAAAGCAACAGATGTTTCATGATTTCGTCTACACAAGCCTACTAATCATAAGCAGGTATGCCACCCATGAAACATAGGACGAAATGTGTGAGATAAGTTTATTCATCCCTCAGAGCTGTTGTCTATCGTGGTCTGTTTAGACAATATGTGACACCTCAAAACTAAATTAGGTTGGTTCACCCCTCAAATAAATTGACCATTGCGGACTATTAGCCCCGTTCGTGCACATGCCGAGCACCGGTGTACTGCAAAAAAGCAACTCCCGCAGAAGCAAGATTTGCGGCTGTTGCTTCTCCTCAGTGCACCGGTGCTCGGAAAGAAGCTCACTCAATGGGGCCACGAGGACAAAAAGTATGAATTGCACGAAAACGCTGTTTGAATTAAGCGGCTTAAAAATATTGTGACGGAAGAAAACTGAACCACATCTAGCTACAGCGTACAAGTGGGAGATGAAGAGGAGGAGAAAGAGGACGAACTGAGATTAAGGGGAATGATGTACTGAATAACGAAAGTTGACCTGTTACAATTTGGTGTCAGAAGTGGGATGCCCCTCACAGGACAGCAAACACCGCATGGTGAGCCCAGCACTGTTACTGAAGCCACTGCAGACATTGAGCAACCACTTGCCTTCGCTCAACTGCGGGCTCTGTTCACGGAACAGAGACAAGGCTTTAAAGTCACGGTAGCCAGCGTGGTCGAGTCACAGCTGCAGCCTATCACGTCGGCACGGAAGGACATTCGACGAAGAATAACCGCATTGGAAGGAAACTGAGGTACGGGGAACCAGATTGCTCCCGCAATGGTGAGCACCGATTCTTCTGGTTCAAAGCCTCTTTGCCCGAAACTGAAGCCATTTGATGGCAGTGAACCACTGGACCGTTACCCTGAGCAAGCTAACATCGTTGCCCAGGCCATTCAATGGTGAGAAGACAACACAACTCGTGCTCTCGTGGCACAACTATAGGGCCCTGCCATCACAGTCTTCACCCAACTTCCAAGGTGCAGTTTTAACTTACCAAGTGCTAGTGGCGGCCCTTCGAAATTGCTTTAGCACAAGGCACCTGCACCAAGTTCGTTACGGCGAGTTAAGTTGTCAACAGAAACCGGGACGAACATTTCAAGCCCTTGCTACGGTAGTTGAGTGTCTGGCATGTAAAGCGTTTGCAAGGGTTACCTCCAAAACTTTAAAATCGTCTCGGCACTACTGCCTCTGTCGACGCTGTTGGAGATGCCGAGGTTCAAAAGTTAGTTAAAACTGGAGCACCGACGACCGTTCGGGAAGTTCCGGCGAAAGCGTTGTAGATCTCAGCCGCTCAAGAAGTGACCGTAGACGCCCAAGCTCCTGGTCAAGCATCATTACAGCCAACTACAGACATAGGCACGTCTAGACTACGTCTACCACATGAAGATTATCGCCGAGTTCAAACTAAAAGACTATGTTTCCAGTGCGGAAGACCAGAACGTTCAACGGCTGAATGTGCCGCCTCGACAGGAAACATTTCTCTGTCCACGGGTGCAGGATTGAGAATAGAATACAATAAAGTCCCTCTCATCGCTCTATCAAATCCTCGCTGTTCTTCCAACTACAGAAGTAGAGATTGAAGGAATTGGGATACAAGAGTGCCTTCTTGATACTGGAGCAGTGGTTAACATCGCGGACATGAGGCTCTTACCCACCAATTGTGACATTTCTTTAGCTGCCCCTCATCTCTTTACAGCCATTGGTGCCACAATTCGAACTGAAGGATGGGTTAAGCTTCTTGTTATTGCCTTCAATGAGGTTTCACTATTAGACTTCGTCATTTTGTCAAACTATCTTTTCCGTTGTCCTGGGCTACGAATGGCGCCAAGAGAATAGGCTGTTCAAGTTAAACACCAAATCAAAAGACAAGAGTACTCAATTAGCACACCAGTAGGAACGTCAGCCGACGATGTTTCATCCCTAAAAAGCATTTGCACATTGTTCCATCGGACTTTTCTTTTTTCTGCACCGTGCAGTGGACTTTTATAATTTGTTAATCCAAGCTCCAGGAAGCTACACATTTGGTTTGAATTGTCAGAAGGTTGAATTATAAAAAAATTGATCTAAATATGATGCAAGGTAAAATTGTGATTTGTTATATGGATGGCTACACACAGAAAGCAACAGATGTTTCATGATTTCGTCTACACAAGCCTACTAATCATAAGCAGGTATGCCACCCATGAAACATAGGACGAAATGTGTGAGATAAGTTTATTCATCCCTCAGAGCTGTTGTCTATCGTGGTCTGTTTAGACAATATGTGACACCTCAAAACTAAATTAGGTTGGTTCACCCCTCAAATAAATTGACCATTGCGGACTATTAGCCCCGTTCGTGCACATGCCGAGCACCGGTGTACTGCAAAAAAGCAACTCCCGCAGAAGCAAGATTTGCGGCTGTTGCTTCTCCTCAGTGCACCGGTGCTCGGAAAGAAGCTCACTCAATGGGGCCACGAGGACAAAAAGTATGAATTGCACGAAAACGCTGTTTGAATTAAGCGGCTTAAAAATATTGTGACGGAAGAAAACTGAACCACATCTAGCTACAGCGTACAAGTGGGAGATGAAGAGGAGGAGAAAGAGGACGAACTGAGATTAAGGGGAATGATGTACTGAATAACGAAAGTTGACCTGTTACAATTTGGTGTCAGAAGTGGGATGCCCCTCACAGGACAGCAAACACCGCATGGTGAGCCCAGCACTGTTACTGAAGCCACTGCAGACATTGAGCAACCACTTGCCTTCGCTCAACTGCGGGCTCTGTTCACGGAACAGAGACAAGGCTTTAAAGTCACGGTAGCCAGCGTGGTCGAGTCACAGCTGCAGCCTATCACGTCGGCACGGAAGGACATTCGACGAAGAATAACCGCATTGGAAGGAAACTGAGGTACGGGGAACCAGATTGCTCCCGCAATGGTGAGCACCGATTCTTCTGGTTCAAAGCCTCTTTGCCCGAAACTGAAGCCATTTGATGGCAGTGAACCACTGGACCGTTACCCTGAGCAAGCTAACATCGTTGCCCAGGCCATTCAATGGTGAGAAGACAACACAACTCGTGCTCTCGTGGCACAACTATAGGGCCCTGCCATCACAGTCTTCACCCAACTTCCAAGGTGCAGTTTTAACTTACCAAGTGCTAGTGGCGGCCCTTCGAAATTGCTTTAGCACAAGGCACCTGCACCAAGTTCGTTACGGCGAGTTAAGTTGTCAACAGAAACTGGGACGAACATTTCAAGCCCTTGCTACGGTAGTTGAGTGTCTGGCATGTAAAGCGTTTGCAAGGGTTACCTCCAAAACTTTAAAATCGTCTCGGCACTACTGCCTCTGTCGACGCTGTTGGAGATGCCGAGGTTCAAAAGTTAGTTAAAACTGGAGCACCGACGACCGTTCGGGAAGTTCCGGCGAAAGCGTTGTAGATCTCAGCCGCTCAAGAAGTGACCGTAGACGCCCAAGCTCCTGGTCAAGCATCATTACAGCCAACTACAGACATAGGCACGTCTAGACTACGTCTACCACATGAAGATTATCGCCGAGTTCAAACTAAAAGACTATGTTTCCAGTGCGGAAGACCAGAACGTTCAACGGCTGAATGTGCCGCCTCGACAGGAAACATTTCTCTGTCCACGGGTGCAGGATTGAGAATAGAATACAATAAAGTCCCTCTCATCGCTCTATCAAATCCTCGCTGTTCTTCCAACTACAGAAGTAGAGATTGAAGGAATTGGGATACAAGAGTGCCTTCTTGATACTGGAGCAGTGGTTAACATCGCGGACATGAGGCTCTTACCCACCAATTGTGACATTTCTTTAGCTGCCCCTCATCTCTTTACAGCCATTGGTGCCACAATTCGAACTGAAGGATGGGTTAAGCTTCTTGTTATTGCCTTCAATGAGGTTTCACTATTAGACTTCGTCATTTTGTCAAACTATCTTTTCCGTTGTCCTGGGCTACGAATGGCGCCAAGAGAATAGGCTGTTCAAGTTAAACACCAAATCAAAAGACAAGAGTACTCAATTAGCACACCAGTAGGAACGTCAGCTGACGATGTTTCATCCCTAAAAAGCATTTGCACATTGTTTGGATGTGTCTCCAGTGTTATTTGTGTCGTATAGAAGGAAAATTGGCACATGATTCCGCAGTTTTGCTACCACTTCGGCCATGCCGCCAGTCCTAAGGTATAGCTCCCAGATGACTCAAAAGTATAGGTGAACGACTTTACAATTGTACCTGCCAAGACTGTTTCGTGGGTATGCCTGGCGACCAACAAATCCAAAGTTAACCGTAAAGCAATTTTTGACTTGTTTTTTGCGCTAAACCAGAAAAGGAACTAGCTTTGCCCCAAACGCTTGTTTCTTGTACTAACGGAGAATTTGTTGCGCTGGTTATTGATCTGGGCATCGCCGGCATTACTCTTAGTTCGGGGAAATACATTGGGACGCTCCAACCACTCGTTAAAGACAAAACTTTAACACTTGCTAGTGTTTCCCTTATATCAGAAAACACCCATAAAATATTTAGTCTGGCCGCATTTCTGCCTTGGGAACAATTTCAGTTCCGATCGAATCTGACTGCTGAACAAGAAACTGACAAGGGAGTATTTTTGTCACATCGACATTGCTTTGCCCTCAGCGAAGAAGAGCTTGGATGCATGCCGTATGCAAAACGCACCATCACTACTGGAGACAGTCGACCGATACATCAACCTCTACGTCGCTTGGCTCCTGCGGAGCATAAATCCATCAAAATGCAAGTCACTGATATGCTGGAACAAGGTGAAGTCGGTTCTTGGAGGAGTCCGTAATCGTCCCCAGTTATACTAGTGCAAAAAAAAGGTGGTACAGTATGGTGCTGCTCCCCTCAATCATCTGCTTCGGAAGAATGCACCGTGGCATTAGGGTGATTACGAACAGTCAGTTTCACAATCTGAAGATGGCACTTGTAAGCGCTCCAGTACTCGCCCATTTTGATCCATCTTTTTCAAAGACCTTTCTCCAAACAGATGCTAGTGGAAAAGGCCTGGGCGCTGTGCTACTTTGAGGAGTTCCAGATGGTTCTCAAAATAATTTCCTATGCAAGTCGCCGGTTTACACAACAAGAAGAGAAATGTCATTCTTCCGAACTGGAATGTTTGGTACTCGTCTGGGAAATGCAGAAATTTGGTTTGTACCTTTATGGTCGCCATTTTACGGTGGTTACTGACAGTTCAGCTTTAACCTGGCTCGAAAGCAAACAAGCCTTGACCGTGAAGCTTGCACGCTGGGGCATTATTCTATAAGAATATGACTTTGAAATCATACATAGCAGTGGATAGAGTCGTCAGGGCGCAGCCTTTTTGTTGCACAACCCGTTAAGACGAACACCCTAACGTTCAGGAGTACGACACTTACTTGTGCGGCACTACATTAAATTTACATTACTGTCAACATCAAGACAGGGAAGTGCAAGACGTCAAACAGTGGCTTGCATCGCCTGTTTCAACGGTACGTGTGCTGCGGCTACATCAAGCATACCGCATGCAAGTGGGTATACTTTGTCGTAGTGGCCTCAATCCTCGCCAATGGCTACCGGTGGTTCTGGCTGCCTCGAGAACTGCTGTACTTCACCCCTGCCATGATGATCCGACAGCGTGCCATCTGGGTCGAGACAAAACTGTAGCCAAGCTCGCGGAACAATATTGGTGGCACAAATTTTGAAGAGACCTTTCTCAGTAGTTAGCTTCTTGTGAAACATGCCAACAAAGGAAATTACCAAATAGCTCACCGATCGCCGAGATTCATTTTAATCAACCACCACAAACTGCTTTGTAGCTTATTGGACAGGATCATCTGGGGCCATTTCCGATATTGCAAAGAGGTAACCGTTCTGTTATTGTTGCCATTGACCATCTCTCAAAATGGATCGAACTGCGTGCTAGGCCCAGGACTTCAGCGAATTACGTTGTACGGTTTCTACGGAAACAAATAGTTCCACGTCACGGGTGCCGCGCTTTGTGCTCACCGACCGTGGAACCCCATTCAGCTCTCACCTTTTTTGACGTGAGCTGGCAGCCTATGGAATATGGCACGCGCAAGCAGTACCTTACCGGCCTCAAATCAACGGACTCATTGAGCGTGCTAACCATACTATCACTAATACACTATACGCGTACATACATACATCGCATGACCTTTGCTCTAAAGACATTGCAACAAGCAAGCACCCTGACCAGCCCATTGAAGCTGCTATACGGTAGAGCTCTGTTCCTAACTTAAGAGTCAGCGTTACCCACCACGTGGGACCACAGCGGCGACTTCGAGAGTCTACTCAATGATGCTTGATGCAAGACTCGTGTTGCCATCCGCGGAGCCCAGCAGCGGATCCTAGCCAGCCACAAGCGAAACAGTCTGACGGCTCTTATAGTGACGGGAGATCTTGTGCTTGTGCGTTGGCAATGGAGAAGAAAGGGAAGGGCCTTGAAACTACTTCCGAAGTATACATGGGCCCTTGTGAAGTGCTTAGACAGACAGGTCCTGTCTGCTACAAAGTACGAGACCAAAATGCAACACGAGACTAGACTTACATTTTTCTCGTACATCGAAGTCTGCTGAAGCTCTACATTTCCAGGCAGACACACAACCAGACAGACCACGGGACACAGACTGCCGCGGACGGACAGTCAACTAGGAGGGGGTAAAGTGTAACAGAAGAAAACTTGAGCACTTCTAGCTACAGGGTGCGGGACGAAGGAGAAAGAGGGTGAACTGAGATTAAGGGGAATGATATACTTTGTAACAAGAGTTGACCTGCTACAGTAGATCAAAAACATAACGAAACAACTAAAATCTTGAAATTTATTTTAAATAACCAGAAGTATAAAACATCCGTTCGAATTATGCGAGCCTACTGTAGCACACAAAGAGCCTTTTGGCTCTTTGTGTACTTCTACAGATTGGCCGCACCAGATTAGCGTTGCCTTCAAAGGGATTTCTCGCTGCTTTCAGGGGACCTGGATCAGGTGGAGACATTTGTCACCATGAAGCACGGACCTCAGGCAAGTCGCAGAGAGAACTTCCTGTACTCTCCATGACTTTTGTGCTTTTAGGAATCTTTGTTTTGTACCAGGCTTTCTCATGAAAATGTCAGTCTGCTTACAACACTAGTTCTCTCTGTAATAAAATAGTCTACTTACAAAAGGAAATGGTGACCACATAAATCAGCGTTTTGATTATACCAACATGGCAATTGCTCGTACCGGTGTTACGGAGAAGTGTCATTAGTAAAAGGCAGATGTGCTTGAGGTACTTGCGCAATTAATAATGGTATAATAAAAGAAACCAGATTTATTAGTTGTACAATAAAAAATATGACTATGCTAAGAGAACTTTTAATAAACTTTGAAGGTTGACTCGGACATTTGAAATACAGGTTAATGTCTAATATTAGCGATTTCTCTTTGGGATAAATACAAAAGAGAGAAGTATATTGCTGCTAGAGTGGTTTGCCATAACCCTTCTGTTTTTAGGCATGTTCTTTAGCACAAGGCATCTGTGAAACTCGTGGACAATGGTGAAATAAGACCTACAGACCTGTTTGTTTTCTTTTTTTAGTTTATCTCTTTGTGCGTGGCGCAGTTACTCCATCACCTTAACTTTGGTTCTCTCGATGTTTCCCGACTTCCATCCTGGCAGGGGATGAAGATCAACTATGCCACTTGGCAAAGCGCCATCTATGGCCTCGCCCACTCCTCGGAGCTGGTCGAACTCCGCAAGCAGTCCCGGGAGAAGATCTTCACTAAGTCGCTGCCGCCAAACCAGTCGCGGCTTGCAAGGAGGTGAGAGCACTTTGGGCTCCCTGTGTTTTGCATAGTTCATTTTTTCAGGCAGATTTGGTGTTTCGTGGTGACAATTTTTTGGTGTCTGATGAAAAGTCTGTGTTCGTCGGTGGTTCATCGAAGAAAAGGGGACACAGACATGGGGGAGTTACCAACTGCTAGGGAACATGCATGAGACTCGAATACTTGGAAAAGTACCATTAAAAGAGGGAAATGAGAGAAAGAGTGTGGTTCTCGAAGAATGAAGCAGCTTCGTGATCAATTCAGTGAAGGGTTGTGGTTCGGGTGTACATGAAATAAAACGATAAAAATTGCTTCCCATGAAACTCTTTTTTTCTCCTCTAATATGGCTTTGATATGGGGTTGTTGAGTTTTTACCGATTTGAATAAACCGGCTCGGAGAGGGGGGGGGGGGGGGTCTATTTATGGCGGTTTATTGGCATGAACCGAAAACACGGAGCCCTACCTTTACTTCGTTTACCTCTAAGCTGAGAGCATGGCGGAAACATGCTTGTTCAATCAGTCAATCAATCTTGTGTAAAATAAACACGGAACACACTGCGTAAATGCATCTGGATCTGTGGCCTTCTTGGCTAGTATTGGATTCATCCCAGATGTAGAAAAATAAATTAATGCGGTGGTTACCAGGCAACCCTTGCATCTGCGATACAAAAATATTTCTTACTTGAGCGTTTTTTTTATAAAATACCTTTTTAGTGTACTTTTGAGACATTTGGCTTTCTTTAATGGTATGTTTAAAGAATTCCATATTTTTGTTCTTTGACAACCACATATTATAAGACAATAGGAATGTTTCAGGGCATCTGCAAATAGTAAATTTTGAGTTTGAAGTGAAGTGGTTTTGGCCGAATATTTTCTAATTGAATATTGAATAGCTTCTTTAAGCATTTTACTACTGCACCCTGCTTAAAAGGAAAACCCAGCTGAACTTGTGAAGGTAATTCTCAGGCTTCCATTTCTTCATTTGTAAGCTAATTTTAATCCAACTATTTCTAGACTTAGGAAATTCGAGTGCCTACATTTGAATGGCAAGTAAACAACACATTTGATAAAAAAATTAATCCTATAGGGATGCTCAGCTGTACTTAATTGAGAAATTGGTAAACTTTCTCGCTATATGCAAATATCCTTTCTCTGAGATCTCGAATTTGAGAAAAGAAAAAGATAATCCTCGAGAATGGACACAGTTTGTCGGGACATCTTTGCCTAACACATACTGTTGCAAAATAGGCACCATTTAATATTGAAAATTTTACTGTAGTGTAGATATTAACAATCGCAGAGGTTACATTTCTTTTTATATACACCTGGCATGTGCCTGCACTATCTCGTTTTGAAAGTGCACCTTTTTCCTAAGCACCACACTGCAATATTTGTATACTTTGCGAAGTGGTGGTCGCTTTCCCTTGCGGAGATTGCGGTGGGAAACAATCTGCATGGGTGTTTAAGGCCTCTTCCCACCGCACTTCGAAAAACACAAATATCGCAGTTTATCTTAAATCGAGTAGCGTATTACTCTAAACTACTATTCGAATATTCGCGCAACCTTGCTGTTGCAAACATTTGTGGTTGCCCTACCCGATCAAGAAAATATACCCGACGGTAATGGTGTATTGGTTGTTAAAATATTATGCATCATAACTACAGCTTTACAGTCGCACACCGAGGGAAATGGCAGTATTCGTGGGTTTTGAAATAACTGAGCAGAATGAGCATTAAATCTCTCTTTGGCTAATATTCTGATTGCTTGCTTTTGTAGTGTTCCAAGTGGCCGTATGTGGTTTTGAGAAGTAAAACCCTGAGATTTCGCATAATATCGGAGGTTGTTGGTTCGGTCATGCGTCGTACGTTCGCCAAGTGATCAAGCTCCTGCCCATCCCCTCGGGCGATGAAAGGGAGACGGTTCATCAGTTCGGAAAGCGCCCAACTCCCACCGCACTGTCAGCTTAGTGGTGAACCGAGTATACCCGGTGCCTCAGTTCGATCAAACCAATGCTGCCTTTCGAGTAGTGTCGCTGTTGTAGAATTTAAAAAAAAAAAGGTTTGTGCTGTTCGCTTGGAAGCTTCCTTCTCTGGCCAGTGGGTTTCGGCCGCTCACGGTCTTTTCGTGGCTTCGTTCCGGCCAGGAACGGGCTGTTCCAGAGTGACGTGGCCAAGGGATGGTGCGTCCCCTTCCTGGGCAGCGACCGGTCGGTGATGCTGCACAGCGAGATGTTCCGCTACCAGTTCAAGGACAAAAAACCGGTAAGACAGTCTTTTAATCTCCACGGTGGCGCTGTCCCTTCCGCTTCCCCGGTATGCACCGACGTCAGTCAAGGCTTCATCCAAGGCTGCGTGAAGTGACGTCAAAGCAGCCTTTATATTCAACTACTACTGTTTTGTTATAGGAATTGTGAGATTTCTGCTACGGCGCCGTGCGCTGCCAACACCGCCTAGGAGACCAGGCCTGCGCATGACCTCGTAGTTAGTTAATCTTTGACCCGTCTCAGGTGGCAATCGCACCGAAGCTCGACAAGGGGACGCTTCTGTTTTGGCATCACCACGTGCTTGCATCGCACTCGATGTGAGACGCTGCAAGACGAACTGGCAGCGATGCCGACTCGGGTTAAGCGGTGCTTCGTGCATCTACTAGCGACGACGTTTGGGTAGGGAAAAGCGCAGGCCTTCTCTTCTACGTGGTATTGGTACTGCATCGCCCCGGTCGTTATAACGCCACTGGTACCAACCTTGCTTTCCCCATCGCGGCGACCTAGGTGCAAGTGCAGACCTACATGAAACTTTCGGGCTTCCTGTACGGCGTGGGCCTCATCTTCGTGGCGGCGGTGTTTGGCATCTTGAGCATGTTCAAGTTTGGAAGGTCGTTGCTCGAAAATGTGAGTTTTTGTCATTTTGTATATCTTGACGACAGGTCGGAGACCGATATCCGTAGGCTGCGGCATGACAGTGCAACTTTGCACTGGAGTGCAGCGCTCCCAGAATTGCTGGGTACAATTCTGCACCCAACATCCACTGGTGGGGGCTGGATAACCAGCACCCAGCAGTGGATGTTTTGCCAGCGTACTCACGCGGGATTCAAGGGCGTTGGTTTACGTGCTGGGCCGGCATTTTGCCTCGAGTGCCGACCAATATCTTGAATCGGGCCACTTTAAGCATGACACCCTTAGACAGAGTGGTAGCAATGCGAGATTTTTACCCCATTGCTCGCTTGAGGCCTATTTTGGTGTAGGCGTTATGTAACTGAGGTTTTGACTGCACACTAAGGGTGCAAAGGTCAGGACACCCTTGGTCTGTTTGGGGCTCTAGCCCCCAAATTTGAGTCCCTAGTCCCCCAAACCTTCGTCTCATTCTGGATCCTTCACTTCCAGTTTCCCGGTCTCTTCTCATGTGGAATGGTCAAAAAGGGTGGGCCCACCCGGGAACAGGTAAGTCACCGGGGCTGCTTTGTGAGGTTCATGTGCAGCTGTAAATGATTGTTGTTTGAGGCTGGTAACTCTTGGGCAAGGTCAAAGGGATCGGGAGTCCTTGCTTTATAAATCATTGTCTAAAGTGGGATATATATACGTATATCTTTCTAAGCTTTGAAAAGGAACTTCTGGCCCTCTGACAATTTTGTTCTTACAGTGCTCAAATGATATATCTATTGAACTTACCCTCATGCAGTGTCATTGCCAAAAGGACCTTTGAAAAGCGACAATTTCAACTTCAAAAAGGATTTTAAGTTTAAATATTTTACATTGTTTACCTTACCAAATGAGGTGAAGAACACTGCCTCATTCTTTTTAAATATTGAAATTCCGTTGCATAGTAGCAAAGCAAAGAACAGAAATATTTAGCGATTTCCAGCCGCGAGTCGCGGCCACAGGAACTATGGCACGATGCCAACCTGGGTGCATTGTTATAAGTTGGCAAGATGTGTCATTATGCACTCAATATAAGGCTATATGTTGTAAATATTGTCGTTTCAACATGAGTAAAAGCGTCAAAAGTCTCATATCGTCGACAAAATTGTGCTATACCTATACTTCGTTTCAGCTCAAGTCCAGACTCAGCCAATGCTATAAGCGCGAGCGTGTGGCCCTGAACAGTGCCTGCCCTGCATGAGCGTGCATGCTTGGCAGGAACGCTAAATGCCCGCAGCTCGTGCTTGTAGCATCGGCTTAGTCTGGACTTGGGCTGAAATGAAGTACAGAGAGTGTATTACAGGGAGTTTCCAGCTGCTCTATCGCGTTCCCAAGGTTTCTGGGCCGCGTTGCAATACGAGCTGTGAACGCGTTAATCGTCTGCGAATGTCTTTGCCTTTTTGTCCGCTTTCCTCCTTTAAACGCGACAGCGCAAGCATACTTGCGACCAATCTCTGCAGGAGGAGTCTGCCATTAAATTACAAATGCTCCCCACGGTTCGAGTTGGAACCTCTTTTCAGACTAGGCTCTCTAACTATATATTAAGTGGTGCCATCTGTCTGAGGTGTACAAAACCATTCCTCTCGCTCCATCGCTTTGTCAGACTTCCTTACAGCAAGGCAAGCACTTTGCCCCCCTCCCCTTCCCCATCTCAATGTCACTCAGACCAACCTTTACGAGAAGAGGCAGCGCATACCGGAGGCTCTAAAAGAGAACCCCTTAGGATACACTGTGTCCCAATTGCGCCTGTCTACACTTCACTGTGCACGTGACTCGAAAGAGAGAGCAAGAGTTGAGCCTATTGGGAGGTGCACAAACCTTCACTTGTTTGGCAATTGTTTTTTTTTAAAGAACGGCTAACGCGTGCAGGCAGAATTGGTTCGCGGTTCTTTACATCGGACGTGACAGGAAACAACTCCCACAATTATTTGACCAAATTCTAAAAATTGCAGCTCAATAAATATTCTTTTGTTCAGGCGCTGGCCTGCTCGTTCACAATGGTGATCCGGGGACGGGGCTGGAACGAGAGGCTGACTGAACTGTCGGACAAGCACACCACTCCACCCGAGAAGACCATGGTTGTCAGACTGGACGGTCCAGGTGAGATAATGCATTAAAAAAAGGGGTGGGCATCCCAAGATGCTTGCCAACTTTGGTCACCGTGCGGACATCGGCTGCCTCATACCGTACCAGAAACGTTGTTGTTCAAAACGAAGGCAAATCGACGGCCTATGAATCCCTAGGTGGCAGGTTTAAGTCCCGGCAGAGATGCCTGCATTCTGGCTTAGGCTTATTGTGGAGAAGGTGCCGTGTAACCGAGATTTGGTTTGCATGTCGGAATTTCCCAGGTGGTCAAGATGAGCCCTCAGTCTTCCGTCATGCCTTTCAAATTCCCTTTATTGGTATGGTCACATGCCGCATAAAACTAAAGTTTTGTTATCGGAAGGTCGAGGAAAGGGCTGTCTTTTTATCAGTCTTCCAAGCTATAACCTCTACCTCTGTCTGTATGTCTCGTGTTTGCCGTTTCTACATACCTTCATTGAGGCTGCTATGCAGTCAACTGCAAGTCAACATATCCCCTGTCGGACTGCGATGCCTCGGTAAACAAACGAGTCTTTCATTGATTAATTTCATGGCACGGAACGTGGCCCCTTACTTAGTCTCTTGACAAAATGTCTGCTGCCACTCTAATGCTTGTGAAAGGCTCTCTTCAAGACACAGAGCACCCTTTCGTACGCAGACCCGGCGTACGTGACCACGGCGATGTGCCTCGTGCAAGCGGCCATGGTGATCCTCAAGGAGAAGGACAAGATGCTCGGAAAGTGAGTGCTTCGCTGGCGCACGCTCGTTATGTCACCGGCTCGTGGCAGACTACTCACACCCCGGATTCGGAAAGAGGAACGACGACTCATTTCTTGGACTCGTTCAAGAGACGTGCCGTTCCAGTCCCAAGTCTGTGAATGCGTACCGTCACGTGCGCCGCACGACCCATGTTAGAGCCACTAAATACACTGGCCATCTTGTTGCTTAAAATCTAAAGCCTCGCCTGAAATCTCTGGAAACAAATTTCTGTCCTCCCGAAACGTTAAAAAACGTTGAAGTATCTGCGGACACGCCCGAAACACGTCTGCTTTGAACATGTCTGCGAACAGTTTTTTTGAGTAACAATCTCAAAACCGTCATTTTCAAGGGGCCAACAAAAGTGTCTTCAAAATTAATATAAAAATATATGTTGCAGTTAAACCTTCATAGTTGCGTACTACACATCCTTGCGCATGCCATGTTTAATTGACAGGACAACTTAACCATAACGTTTTGTGCACAAACTGAAGATGCCCCAAAATTACGAAAACAGGAAAACGTGTTTATATTACCCATAGATGTGTGGCAGTACTCTTTCGCAATCACTATTTTGTGAGAAGTCGATGGCACAGAAAAATGTGACAGAGGTAAAAGCTTGACCTACTTCTCAAAATAAATGTGATGGCAGACAACGTCGCAGTTTGAGGAACCGCGCAAAAACTAAAGCGGCTCCAGTTAATACCTTTTTGGGTCGCCGGGAGTTCTTCCGATGCGTACATTAAACTAATTTCGCTATCATATTTGGTTATTATTTTATGCACAAAATATGCATAAAGATGTTTGAAACATTGCCATTTTTTTTACTTGCACGTGACTGGCCAGTGTGGGTGGGTCGTTAGATTGTATGTTTTTCTTGTTCAGGGGCGGAGTGTTGAGTCCTGGAGCCGCTCTGGAAGCAACTTCCTTTCTGGAGCGCGTGCAGAAGCATGGCTTCAAGTTCACTGTCGTCGAGGGCGCCAGTCCCAGCCACGACGAGTAGACGAAGAATGGCTTGTTCACTTCGCCAGGGACCAAGGCGTTGCTGGGAGAAACCTTGTTTTCGAGGCCAGCGGGGCATTTACTGATACCTAATATTTTTGCCGAAGTTTAGTTGGCTACCAAGCAGGTTTTGCACCTTATTTCTGTCGACCAATGTGCCCCTCACAGGCACTTGATTATAATTCGCCACTGAGTTAACGACGGACGGGTTTAAGTTTTAGGGCAAACAGTTCTCTTTCGTGCAGTTTCTTTAAAATGCACGCTTTTTGCGAGGTTCGTGGAAAGTGTGCAACGTTTGTGCTATTTTGTTTGCATGTTGATTATTTAATTGCATTTCATGTTGGTGATTGTATGCTTTGTGAGCCCTTTCATTAAACTCTCAAGGTTACCCTCTCTGCTGTTGCGCGATTCTTAATACGGTTTAGCTCGGGAAACGAGCACGGCTTACAAATTCCATAGTAACTTGTGCCAATAACGAAATTTGTGGCGATTTTTACTTGCACAGTAAGCAAGGGGAAAAATTTAGAGAACGCTTAAGCTTCGCCTTTAAGTGTGGAACACGATAGCTAAACATATGAACCCCGCTCATTCCCAAGACGTGCAAGCGTGTCTGGCTCGCAATGGAAGTGTCGCGAGTTCGAATCGTGCCCCGCATAAAATTCTTAGATTTTTTGCTTTATGAAAAATTAATTACTGTATGAAGGGAAATTATTTGAGACGTGCAATGACCTCTAATTCGCATCACATGTCACGTTTTATTCAAGTAAGTAAGCGCCAAAAAACACGCAGCAGAGTAGGCAAAGGGATGCAACTCTTTGTCTACTTTGTTGTCCCTGTATTTTTGGCGCTTACCTACTTGATCACGAGCCAACTGGCCCAAATTGCCACTTTAATGCTTGTTTCAATCGCTTTCATTCCACGCTTAACGTCACGTGAGACGCGAGCGTTGCGGTTTGTTTGAAATTGCCGCGCGAAGCCATGTGGCTGTGACGTCGTGGCCCTATCGACCAATCACGATTTTGTTGTCCCACGCCACCGACACCGATGCCAGCTCTTCTGCGACACAAAGGTACAAAAGAACGTGTCAACGCTAGATACACGGTGTCTATCAAACGATGACGGTTCTATAGATCGAAATACAACCGAAAATGTTTTTGGTCACGCCACTGGCCAGAATCGCGTCCGCTCCAGTACACACGGTCGGTCATCTGGCTATACTGGCCGAAATTTATTGGTACCAATCTGTGACTTGTGAGGTGCCTGAGAGCGCCGCCTTGACGGCTCGTATCCTGGGGTAGGGCGGACCGCATGCCTCGGCGTCCTGCTGGGTGTACTCGATGCCAAAGAGGGCCCAGCCCAGCCTGTACCGGCCCTTGAGCACCATCTTCGCGTCTTTCACCTGCGCGCAGTGCCCAAACATCGGGGTTCAGCGCGACGAGGAACTGAGGGAGATGAGACGAGTACTGCGGGGACGTCGGAACGCCGAGCTCTGGTTGGAATTAAGGGCGGGGGCAGACTCAAAGCTGCCTGACTCTGTCTCTATTCACACTTGGAACGCGCTCGATTGCTAAACGCGGGTGTCCTGCGTTCGCGTTCAGACAGACGTTCAGACAAACGTTCAGCGTTTACGACGTAACACTGAAGAGGACGAGAGAGTGCCGGAGTTGCTCGCCTGCACTGACCCGCTTGTCGCTGCCGTTGTACTCTGTCATAGCCTCCTCTATACGGAGAAAGCCTGGCACATCGACGACGGGGCCATAGAGCGCGCGGCCGCAGGAAAAAGGAGAGGAGGAGCGCGCCGAACGGTGACCAATATGGTAGCGCAGAGCAGAAAGGGCAGACCTAGACAGCGAGCGCTTGGGTCATGAGCGGCCGCTCCCCGAACCACGCTTGTTTTTGTGTTTTCTTCACCGTCGTTTTCGTACTCCGGGAGAAACGGGCGCGGCGATTCGAAAGGGCGCAGGGAGAAACGGGAAAGGATGGACGTGGAGTTTCTCCTCTCCACGATAGCGACAAGAAAAGAGAGAAAAAAAAAAAGGTTGTTTCTGCGTTTGGCCGCTCCCTCTTTTGTGGCGCTAGCAGGCAAGGTTCTCTCCGCTCCCGTTTCTCCGCCCCTCCTTTCCCATTTACGGCGGGCGTCTTTCCACGCGACGCGCCAGGCTTATGACCAGGGTGTAAGATAGACAGGTGGGGAAACGAGAGCCAAATGAGCGACCGGATTGTGTCCCCCTCGGGTTTCTCTTTTTCTGTGGCGCCATCTATGTGGAGCACCGCGAACTCTCACTCCGGGTGGGCGACCGGTGGCGACCGGATAAACTGATGGAGATGATTTCTCGTGGATTTTCAATGAAGGAATGTCGTGCTCTCGGTTTATTTTGCGCACTCTCCCATAAAGTTCTATGCAAATTCGATTCCAATTTTTTTCCTCTCGCCGCAGCGCCATCTGTCGCAAATCGGGGGTACTCGCAAGCAGACGAGTACACAATCCGGTCACGGCGCTGCGGTAGGTTTCTATGGGCCGTTTCCCCACCTGTTTATCTTACACCCTGGCTATGACTCTGTCCACCCCTAAACTGACCATGCGGTGGGAGCTAAGCGCTCGCGGAGGGCAAGTCGTCTGCTTCTTGCGCAGGAGTGGCGGTGACGTCAGAACGACGCCGAGTTTCGATTGGCTGTTTGAATAAAATAGAGGGTAGACCTAAAGACATCTAGCATTGAGGTCTACCCACTATTTTTTTTTAATCATCCCATAAGGGCTTGGCGTCGTTTTGGCGACACTGCTACTCCTGATCAAGAAGCAGACGAGTTGCTCTCCGCATCGACCGCCTCCCCTCTCATCGCCTGCCCGGCTTTCCGCAAGTACGTCTGAGGCGGGAGCGTAATCACGTGACGAAAGATACCCATACTACTGGTACAACGAGCACCTTAACTTTCCTAAGCCAATTTTGTCAGCTTAGGAATGAGGTCATAGAATCGGTTTTACATAGCATTTACGGCATTCCTTTCGGCGCCGTGGACGGCGCTGCACGCTTCATGCATGTAAAGTTCCTGGATATGGTCCCCCGAAGGGACATACAGGAACTCTACATGCATGCATGGACTGCTTGCTGAAGGGTCAAAGACTCCCTAGGCAGAGCCACGTTGGATTTATCTTTTGGATATTTTGTAGAAAGGGATGAGAATAGACCTTTCGAAGGAATCCCCAAAGGCTGCGCACGAAGGCCTGTACGCTCCTCGCCCCTGCAGTATCTACCACCTGCCAGGTAAGAAAGCGAGACAGGGGTACAGGCTAGAGTGCCTTCATGGGACAGGCAGTTGCTGCAGTTGCTCGCCTGCCCTCGCCCGCTCGCGCGCGTTTCCTCTCGGCACCGCGGTCGGCGTTGCAAGTTTTAAAACGTGTAAAAAAATAAATCACATTATTCGTGTGTTATTTGATATAGCACAAGATTTGGTTGTCTGAGGGAGAAACTATGCCTAGGGCGCTTGGAACCTGTGCGTTTTGATAAAATAACGGCAAGTAATATATTTTTTTTATTATTATTCGTTACATAATGGAATAAATGAGTATTGCTCCTATTGCCAATAAATCGAACGAGAGCGAAGCACGCGTATAACGTTGGCACGCGTGACAAATGTCCACGTGCCTTGCGTCGCATGGTGACTTCGTCGTCGAAGGCGAAGACGGTCCAAGTCCCTGGCACTTTGCCTAGCCGCAATCCGCTTGCAACGTGCATGGCGCTGTCCGATTTGCAGACCTGCCGTGAAGGGGTGCGCATACATATAGACCAACTCAACTCGCTGACGTCACGCCACTGTGGTGGCGCTGCTGTCGGTATTGCGCATGCGCAGAGACGCTTCACTCCTCCCGAATTTGTTTTTTGCGCACGCGCAGTGCCCACGCCTGGTGTGGGCAAAGTGGGTTTCTTTCTAAACAATGTGTTGGTGTATGTATAACGACGTTCCGAGCGAGAAACAAGCGAACAGATCCGTGCGTTTGCTCACACCAGGCGTGAACAGTGCGCATGGGCAGAGAGATCCGATTCGCAAGAGGCGAAGCGCATCCGCCGCGGCACCGACAACGGTGCCACCCACTGATTTCTATTGTAGTGCCACCATGGGCGTACCAACCGGGGGGGCAAGGGGGGCGCGCCGCGCTTGCCCCCCCAGTTCTCAGAGTGGGGGGGGGGGGGGGGGGGGGGGGCAAGGCATGTGTTTTGCCCCCCCAGAAAAAGCCGCCACTGGGCATGGCAAACACTACCCGTCGGCGCCACAGGGATACAAAGGGCACCGCCCCGGCCCTGGGGGGGGGGGGGTTGTTCTGGTTTGCCCCCCCCCCCCCCCCCCCCACACACACACACTCAAAAACAAGTTGGTACGCCATTGAGTGCCACCACTCTGACGTGATGTCAGTGGCGACTGTTGTTCGACAACTCTATAGTTTGACCAAGAGGGCACGAGGGTAATAGCAAATTACTTTAATTGACCGATAGAAATCGTTTGAATTCAAAGCGCTTTTTTTTACCACGTATACGATATTCTAGAACCTGCAATTTTTTTATTGTATCTATTATATTGAGTATTCCATTTTTGTCTTCGTCTCACACCCTGCGTATTGTGTCGAGGCTTCGCTCACGCGCACGAAAAACTCCATAAGCTGGTATAGTCGCCAATTTAGCCACGTCGCAATAAAAAACAAAAACGAAAATTATTACAATATGTCGTTTCTGCGCACATGCTTCGAGAAACATATTTTTGCGAACGCGTAGGCGCGCCCTCATTTGTCTATCTCCTTCTACAGGTCCCTGTCCATTCGCGCCATATGTTTATTTCAACATATTCGTGTAGGCGCTGATCGTCGCACCTTGTTGTCGTAGCGGGCGAAGGCCTGGCGGTAGCAGATCTGTTTCCCGGTCTCGTTCTCGGTGACAGTCTCGGTCACCCACCCGGGGGTGAGGCGCACCACTGGCAGCCAGAGGGACAGGGCCAGAACAGCGTCCGGATTGGCCAGCGTCACGCCGCCTTCCAGCAAAGCCCTGGCTACCGCCTGTATAGATTCCGGGACAGACACTGACCCTCTCAAGCTCCGAAAGAAACATCGACGGTCATAACAGTTTGCAACTATGCTCAAAAAAAGAAAAAAAGGTCGGGTCTATTATCATCATTATCACCATCTCTTTATTTTTGTGTGTGCTTGTGCATAATGCGTACCAACCAGGGCGAAACCAACATCACCTAGAGTAATCGAGACCTGCGAACATGCTCCTCTTATTCCTCCATGGAACGCCATCACGGTCGAGTCGCCATCACAGTCGGGGCGTTGAGGGGATCAACTAGTGATGACGTTTAGAGGAGGAAACGCGCAGGCCTTGTCTTCTAGGTGGTATTGATTGTAC